TCTCTGCACTCAGGGACGGGGTCCCTGGCAGTCTGGGATCATCTAAGCTGCTGGGGATCAAACCCAAATCAGCTGTTGGAAAAGTGCTCTAACTGCCTTACTTAAGTACTAACTCTCCAGCCACTAAAGAATCGATATCTTACTGCCACCTGTAGCATCTAGACTGTTTCTACAAGAATCTGGTGATTCAAAGCTGGAAGACTAGCTCAATTTCCCTTCTGAGTAGGCTACTAAGAAGTTAGGGCCAAATTTGCTGCCCATTCCAACATGCGCTTTTGTAAAACAAAGTTCATTCCTGGCTTAATGCTGCTTTGTTTTTCCTTTCCTCTTGACTTGACATTTTTTTCACGTCATACAAATTTGATCATGCAACATTTGTATATGGCTCTGGAGCCCCTCTAAAAACTTACCACGGCAAGGCAACACACAAATTTTAACTATAACCAAGATGAAAGTGAGTCATGCCAACATTTGACAGCAGAACCGAATCAGGTCAAGGATCAGAGACTTAAAAATATCTCTAGGGGCTGGAGTGATAGCACAGTGGGTAGGGCGTTTTGTCTTGCACGCGGCCGACCAGGGTTCAATTCCCAGCATACCATATGGTCTCCTAAGCAACGCTAGGAGTGATTCCTGAGTGCAGAGCCAGGAGTAATGCCTGAGCATCGCCGGGTGTGCCCTCCCCACCAAACACACACACACACACACACACACACACACACACATGCAAAGTCATCTACTCTCTCGTGCAAAATTAGGCTTACAGAACCCAAATTTCAGAAGTTAAAAGTAAACGAAAGATGGATTCAACCTGGTCCCATTGAATGGTTTTCTGGGAACCTCTGAAATTCCAATAAGGCTCATTAAACAAATGGAGTCATTCAGCTTTAAAACAAAGTCTGACTGGAAAGGGGCTTCATCCTGGTACATTATAGCATACGGGTTAATCAGAGGTGGAATCTTTATTTCACAAGTTTCAAGATACAGTACAAAACGAATCTGTACATCTCTCTATTAACAGGATTTGTTTACACAATTATATTACACTTCACCAGCCTTTATACTGCATTTAATTAAATACAAAATAAATTTACAAAAATGTCTACCATGGTGTTCCTTCCAATGCCAGCTTATGGTCTTTTAAAACTTCTCCTAAATATAGATAGTGGTTAAACCTTGATCATAACAACATTATGAGTTTTCTTTTTTTTTTTTTTTATTAAAAAGAATAGTGTCAGCTCACTTATTGTTCCAGATAGGAAAAGCAGTTCATCTAAGACTCCTAGCACATAACCAAGGCATCCTTCTCAGGCATACAAAAATGGGATTTTTACTTGTGCAAATAGTCACTTTCAAATACAAAGTGGTTTGCTTGGGATTGTTTCAAATTCTCCTGAAATACCAAGTGAAAGGAGAAATTTAGATTTTTCCAATGACTACTTACACATTTAAAAAGCAGGTAGGGCCTCAGACAACATGGCATTCAGAAATTTTATGTTTTCACTTACATTGGAGAACAATGACTGCTAAAAAATATTTTTATGAAAATCTTCTGCTTTATTTCTTGCACCCTTCCAGTCATAATATTAGATAACATACATTCACCCTCAAAACAAATACCAACTGTCATTAGGGCAAATACAGACCACACAGCTCCTCCCCTTGGCAGGTAAAGGGTGATGTATCTGAAGCACTTTGTTTTGAAATGAGCATGTGAAATTGTTAGTCCAAACCTCTGTAAATCTGTAAAGGAAGGTTTCTGTGGTTTTTTTTTTTTTTGTTGTTTTTGGTTTTTTTTTTGGCAGATGTAGCTAGACAGTAATACACATGCTACAACACATGAATAGTTGTGGTCTTCATTTATAGGCTTGCATGCATACTTCAAAACACTGGTTTCAAGAACAAACATGAGAACAAAGAAAGAAGGGAGAAGGAGAACATAAGGGGAAAATTAAGATATATATAGGTATAAAGTATTTAAGCTTCCTGGAGCAACAGCAGCTTCTTAAATAAAGCATCAGATTATTGCCAGATCACATGTAAAAGTTTCTAAACTTTCTAATGGCACAGAATAAAACAGGTTGGCAGGAACACCCTCACAATTAATTCGATATTGCAGAAGGGCAACAAATCTTCACGAGTATTAAAATTACTGATTCACAGGATTAATTAATTAATTAATTTATTGGCCACACCCAGCAATGCTCAGGGGACCAAATGGGATGCTGGGGATCAAACCCAGATTGGCTGCCTGCAAGGCAAACGACCTACCTGCTGTATGATCTCTCCAGTCCTACGTAAAGTCATTTAAGTGCAAAACAATGAATTTTGAAAATAAATTTTTCTGTGTCATTGCATTTTAACTAAAAAGAAGGGAAATCTTATTTGGAAGCCAAGAACGTCTTCACATTCAAAAAAAAAAAAAAAGGAAGGAAGGAGAAAGAGAAAAAATCCAAGCAACAACGATACCTTTTGTGATATAGAAGAGAAGCAAAACGGACAATCTCAAGACTCAGTCGATGACCCAACACAGCAAATACACACTTGAACACAAGCTAGGTAAGATTTCTACTGTCATCACCATCAAGGCAGAGAGTTTAAAAGGGATCAGGAGATTTGGGCTATCATGGAGAAATGAAGCCACACTCTATCTGCTAATTCTAAATTCTAACATTAAAACTCCTGAATCCTGGAGTTAGTTTAATGTCACTGACATTAACTAGCTTTAGTTACTGTCATTTTATTCAAATGGATGCCATTTGATTAGGTTAAGTATTGAACATTATTTTAGAAGAAACACCAAACCCAGTTCCTATTTGCTTAGGTGTCATGTCCCATGAACAACAAAAAAAAATGGAGCGAAGTATTTTGAGAGAGTCTTTATGTGAAGCCCAAGAAACTATTTATGGTGGAAAGGCCTATCAGCAAATGACCCAGGATAAAACAGGAGGTGGAAAAAAGTTGAAGTAAAGATATGTGGAAAAATCAGCCATAGAAAGGACATGGCAAGCGCTAACTTGCAGAAGTTTGTTATTGCATGAAGAACAAAGCTGTGCCTTCCCATGGAGCTTCAGGTAGTGCACGATGTTCTAAGAAATGCTTTTCAAGGTACTACTGGAGGAAAGTAAAGATTAAAAAAAAAAGGTCACTGAAGTGGAAATTAGGTGGATGGGAGTCAGAGGACAAAGGAAAGTTAGTCATTTTAAATTTCTTTTTTTTTTTTAAAGCGCATAAACTTCTAAAGTAAATGAAAATGGTTCTTATAAAATGAAGTGTGGTACTTATTTTGAATGTTGGGGAGAAGAGGCAGGTGAAGGTACCAATACGTTCTTCCAACTGTCCTCTAATCTCTAGGAGATCAAGCAAGGCATCACATGTACAAGAGCTGCCTATGGTGACATTCAACTTTTGAGGGTAACATTTTTATGTTGCAGATGTGCTTTGACTTCTATGGTCAGTTCTGTGACCAGCTCTTCAAACTGGAAGCAATTATCTGGGGAGGAAAGTCTGGCTTACCTGGATTTCTCATAATACTCTAAAATGTAAAAAAAAAAAAAAAAAAGAAAAAAAGAAAAAAGAAAGCATACCACTTCACATTTAAAGTCTTCCTGGTCGTTATAAACAAATTAAATCTAGTTTTAAACACAGTCTCGGTTTGAGAAACCAAGATCCTGTCACTCTACAGAGAGTAAACTTTTCAAATGTTTCCAGGCAGGTCAGGGATTATGGGGAAAGGATGTTACAGTCAATAGAAACGGATCTGGCAGAAAGAGGGCAGGGGAGCCCGCCCAGGCTCAGAGACTAGCGTGCTCTCAGGCGACACACAGGCTGTGGAACACCACCGCAACAGAGAGAAACAGGTGTTCCATTTCAGCTTTCATTCTTTCACTTGGAAGATATGCAGAATTCTCCATTTTCTTTGTTGTGGCTCTTGCTTCCCATCTATTTAATCAGGAAATTCTTCGAGGGGAGTAGCCCTGATATTCCCAATGGTACCCGATGGAGGGTTGGTGACTTTGAGAACTAAGCAAGCAGCTGGCTTTGTCTTACAAATATAAAACTGCAGGAAAAATAAACATCTACCAAACGGCAAGGGACAGTTTCAACAGGCCGTGGCTTTCCTCAGCCACTGAGTTTAATGTGTATTTGAGTTTTTGAGACACAGTATTGCAATGGTAGCCTCTATGTGCCGTATTCTGCCAAGGATACTTCAGAGTGAACCAATTCAGAAGGATGACCTGTTCTTTTGCAATAAGAAATGCAAAATAAAAATAAAAGTACCCCGGGAATAAATGATTCAACTTTTGGGAAAGTACGTCCGTGGTCTCCGTACCCCACCCCAAGCCCTTAATATTGCTTTCTAGTACCTCCTATTCAGTCCACCCTCTGGTTTCCGGCTCAGGGCTGCATGTACTCGAAACAAACAGGCAAATGACAGTGAGTAGGTGGGGTAGATTCACATGTTAGCTCAGGGAGTGAATTTATAAATTCACACCGTAATATATAAATATATATATGTATATACATTTATATACATACATACACATATATATATATATGTTCCATTCCAAGGAAGTGAAGTTCACACAGAACCCCTTAAAACCTTCCAGTCTCTGAAGGAGAGAAGCATGTTAGAAAACGTGGCAACCACTAGTAAGACGGGAACCTCCCAACCTTCCCTTTTAAAATAACAAATATGCTGAACAGGTATACTTGGGTGTGGGTTGGTAAAGTTTCTCAGTTATTGCAGTTCTGGAACACTTTTTTTTTCCCTCCCCACTTAAAAGGCAAGTTCTATTTTTCAGACTTTCAAACATGTTAAAACTTGCAACCAACTGGGTTTTCCTTTTTACATTGATCAGTTTTTAGTGTCAATGAACAACACCTTAAAGATGGTTGACAGAAGAATGTATTCATGTCAAGAGAGTGAAAAGAGAGCCTGAGAGAGAGTGGGGATGAGGGGAGGAGAGAGAGAGAGAGAGAGAGAAGAGAAGAGAAGAGAAGAGAAGAGAAGAGAAGAGAGACAGACACAGACAGACAGAGACCAAGAGACAGAGAACCAGATACAGAGACATTTCTTTGTCTCATGTTTCCAGAAAAAAAGAGAAAGGGAAAGCCACTGAGAGTTGTTATTCATACAGCATTGAAACAAACATTCAACCCAGTTTAGGTAAGAGTTACTTATCCCTGAAAATAAAGGCATCAGATTCTAAGCAGCTTCAGGAATCCGACGATTCCTTGTGCCTCTTCCAGGAGGTGGCCGCTGATCCCGAGTCCCAGATCGACGCAGTGTTCCCAGCAAGCAAGTCCCGTGGCGGTCAGTGATCAAGGCTGGACCGGGCGGCTGTTACTGTGGAGGCCGCTGCTCGGGTGGCCCCTCCTGCTGGGGTGGCACTGGCCGCGGCCCCGGCGGCCTGGGCAGAGGCATGTCCTGGTGTTGCCGTTGCCGATAAGCTATAACAGTTCCCAGAAGCAACGCGATGATGGTCATGAGGTAAAGGTCCCACTCGGGCCCCAGGAGCTGGTCCATATCAAGCTGGGTAAATACATCTCGGATCTTGAAAGGAATGAAAAAAATCACCATGATCACAAAAGTGTCAGAGGAGGAAGGCTACGACAACATTAAAACTAGAGTGGAGAACTTAACTAAAATAACTGGTTTTGGAAACATTTTGCAATGTGTTTCTTAGAATTTTTTTTTTTATTTTTAAAAGGAGGTTTTAAGTACCAGATTAGGAGGAATGGATCTCGAAATGTTTTGTTTTTTTTGCAAAGACCTTAAAAGACTTCAACTGAAGCTCAAAATCATGTGTTGAAGGAATGATTTAACTATAAAAAATCCCAAAATAATCAACTCTTGAATTTAAGCTTAATTATGTTGTCTATGACATTTTAATTGCGTTAGTATTTTTATTTTTGTTGTTTGCTTTGTTTTTGGGCCACACCTAGCAATGCTCAAGAGCTACTCCTGGCACTGTGCTCAGGATTTACTCCTGGTGATGCTCAGGGGACCATATGGGATGAAGGGGATCGAACCCAGGTCAGTCCCATGCAAGGGAAAATGCCCTTGTTCTGGCCCCACTTTAGTATATTTTAAGAGAAATGATCCTTGTATCTTAAATGATCTGACTGCTACTTATCCACAAAGAAAGTAAACAGGGTTACTATCCTTAATTTTTAAGTAATTTGCAAACAGTCCCCATAAATACATTTCTAAGAAGGGGTACTAAATTTTCCTAGAAAAACATTATAGGAAACTATTATCTGTAAGGGCTGGAGTGATAGCACAGCAGGTAGGGCATTCGCCTTACAAGCGGCCAACATGGCCGACCCGAGTTCGATTCCTCCGCCCCTCTCGGAGAGCCCGGCAAGCTACCGAGAGTATTCGATATGCCAAACACAGTAACAACAAAGTCTCCAATGGAGACGTTACTGGGCCCGCTCGAGCAAATCGACGATCAACGGGAGGGCCTTTACCTTTACCTTACCTATTATCTGTAAACCCTGTGAGAGACCCATTATGGGACATTCTGTATTTTCTTTTTTTCCAACAATAGTTAATACTATTGTTGTTATTTTAATTGGAATATCAAGGAGTAGGATTATGTGGTGCTAAAAAATTGACTTTATAAAAGACCAAACATGATGGTGGCTCACTATCTGTACCGCAATCCATAATACCCATAAGTAGAGAGAGAGTAAGAGAAAAATTGTCTGCCACAGAGTTAGGGGGAGGGGTGAGGTTGGGGTGGGGTGGGGGATAGGTATACTGGGGACAATGGTGGTGGAAAAGGTACACTGGTGGAGGAACGGGTGTTTAATCATTGTATAACTGAAACTTAAAACATGAAAGTTTTGTAACTGTAGCTCACAGTGATTCAATAAAAAGAAACTTAAAAATTGACTTTACATGAAATTTGCTTATATGTGGATGGACATGGAGAGTACCAGGCTGAGTGAAATGAGTGTGAGAGAGACAGACTCAGAAGAGTGCTGTTAGGACAGGGAAGACACCCGTATGACAATTATGGTGGGAAACATTCACTCTGAACAAGAACTGAGTCCCCAAAGAAGCTAAAGTGACATACATGATAACCTTTGAGTAAGACTGCTGCAAACCACAGTGCTAAAAGGAAAGAGAGAGAGAGAAGAAGAGTGTCTGCCATAGAGGCAGGCGGGGGTGGGGGTGGAGGAAGCGGGAGGGAAACCGGGGACATTGGAGGTGGGGAAAAAAAGCTGCTGAAGGGATGAGTGTTGAAACACTGCATGAATGAAACTAAATCATCATCAACTGTGTATAGCACAGCAATTCAATGAAAAAAAATCAATGATTACTTCTGTATTTAAAATGATCTGCTTTTATAGTTGCATGACTATATCCTTGAACTATAATCAACCATTTATTAGTGCTCAAAATTGTAAGAAACAAGGGTCTGAATTAGTTGTGAGAGAGAAGTGGCTGTCCATTATGCTATTGGCTTTGAAAGGACTTAAAGCACCTTCAATTAGCAGAGGATACAGCGTATGGTAACCCATGGTAATAAGAGACTATAAATTTGGTATTACAGAAGTAGAAGCAATCAAGAGGACAGAATATAGCCTCTCCAGACCTCTGGAGCATGGCTTAGGAGCAAGGGGGAGAGTGCAACAGGAAGAAGTCATGGAAATTCTCTTCACAGCTGTCAGAGCAGTGTGGACTACATTTTTTCCTACTTTACAAAGGAACACCCATTCCCAGACCTAAAGATGAGCCAGTGTTCTTAAAAGCCTTAACAAAATGTGAACTACCATCTTTCTCTGATACTGAGTGAATTAAATAGCCTTTGTTTCTGCATACATCTGTGGACTTCAGAGTTAAATGCTGCACCGGATAACCTATGATGAGGAGCTACAACTTTTACAGATGAAATGCAACATTGGAGAATCCAAGAATCATAGTTTAAAAAGTTTTGGTCCTAAGGGGTGGCTGTTCTGAAGAGAATGGGAAACCCATCTCCTATTGAGAATCGACTATGAGCTTATGAGTTCATGGTATTTTTAGAAAACAAAATTCTGGTGGTTTTTAACTTAGGTTTCATTATCAGAAAAATCCAGTACACCAATCTGGGCCATTTTTGGGTTTACTTCGCCTCCCTTAGGCCCCCCCTCCTTCGAGTGGACAGACAGGTTTGAGTCCCTGGGCGTGGACAGGCCCAAGATTTAAAGTTTAATGCTTTAGTTAACTACCGCTTCAAACTGTTCCAAGTTTTCCTTAACCCGGGAAACACAGGAATCCATAAAAAATGCATGGGAGCCATGGTTAAAGGCTACATGAAAACTGTAATCACTTTGTGGCTACATTCACCTGTCACCTGATGAGTCCACTGGTACTGTACTGGGGTTGGGGAAGGAGAGAAGATTACAGACCTTCAGGAGAGTCTCCCCTCTCCGGCTTCCAAAATAAAAACCTACAGACCAAGAAGGTTGAACGCTTGTGTTTTAATGGAAAGAGGCTCGGACCACTTACATTTGTTTCCCGTATGTACTGCACGAAATAGACAACGCCTAATTTGCAGAGCGCTAGGAAGACTGGTACTTGTGCATCTGGGCTGGCTTCGGCTGCCATGTCATAGAAACGTTTGGCAAGATGAATATCCTACAATATAGGTAATAGATCAAAATTCACTTCTTGTTAGGGTAGTAATTATTATTTAGCTTATATAATAGGAAAACACTTAGTTTACCTTTGCAAGCCGTCATTTTAAAACTTTCCCTTAACGGAAAAACCCCGCATTTTAAATGGGTTCATTTTTTTTCATTGTTGAAGCTTAATTTTAAAAATGTGAAATGAAAAATATAAGATGTCAGGGTGCCCTCCCTGACATCCATTCATTGTGCAGATATGGTGGATAATGCTATCTATCTATGTATGACACTAGTTTAAGTTTGAATAATAATTTTCACTTTTTTTTGGTGAGGAAGGCATACTCGTTCGTATAGATTAATTCATAATCTGAATGACTTATTTCAATTATAATCAATTTTCTTTTATTCTTAAAATTTTTCTAGCTATGTTGGATTGATTAGTTATTTTTTTTCCCCACTTCTTTTTGGCCACACCTGGTAGTGATCAGGGCTTACTCCTGGCTTTTTGATGAGGAATTACACCTGGCTGGGGTTGGGGATCAAACGGGTTGCCGGGGATTGAACCCAGGTTGGCCACACACAAGGCAAACACCTCACCTGCTCTCCTATTGCTCTGGCCCCTGGGCCAATTAGTTTTAGGTAAACTTATGAACATCTCTTTCATTTAAAACCGGAATAGGAAAAGATTATCATGATTCTTATGTAAACAGTTATTCTGATTTTTATAAATGATTATTCTTAAAAGCTAAGCCCCCAGAGTTCTCTTCTACTACTCCTATCAAAGTTCTATCATGTCTTTTATCATGATCTTTCTACACAATTCATATAGCTAAACACCATAGGACACTAAAAATTATAAAACGAGAAGGACTACAACTGTACCTCATGGTGTTTCACTAACAAAAATTAAAAAAAAAACCCAAAAACAATGAGAAGGGCACGATGCTGGAGGAATGGCTCAATAAGCTGTAACATAGGCTATGCTTGAACCCAGAAAAGCTTAGGTTCAATTCCTGGCACCAAATTGACCCCCAAGTACTGAATTGAGACTAGCATCTGGGCACTCCTGGGTATAAATCCAAAACAAAAACAGAATAGGATACATTCATATCCTTATTTTATAATAATAAAGTTGTTCAGTTATATCATTTTAATCTAGATTGCTTTCAGTAAACTAAGTATATTTTTGAAAATATTACGAAACTATAGCTTATGAAAATGATCTTTATATTACTCAATTTTATTTTAGTTATAAAATGCACACTTTTGGTATAGAAATTAAGGTAAATTTGACAGCCAACTCTCAATAACCATGCTACACGTCAGTGATCTTCCGTAAACTCAATACACTTAGCTTGTAAGCTCCAAGTCTTCAGAGAACCATATTCAAGTATCTAGTATCAATATAAATATGAAGCATCAAAATTTATATCTTGGAACTTAGAAGATACCAAATATAATTTAAAAAACAAAAATTGCATGTTAGCAAAATGAACTGACCAATTTTCCTTCAACCCTTAAGCAGATTAGGTTGAACCAAGTGGCTCTAAGTGATAAAGGGTCGAATAGTTACTTGATAAAGTCATGGTAAAGCCTTTTAGGGAGTCTTCCCAGAAACCGAGAGTGAATGACTCCAGTAACCAGCCACACATTCCCTTTGTGAGTCTCTTGAGATTTGCTTTCAACAAAACGGAAGTGGGTTTAAGTCAACTGTCAGGTGACAGATGATTTAAAAAGAATTTTTTAAGGACAGGTCACTCTGATTTTTGGCAATTATTATAGACTAAAGGCGGAAGCCCAAGGCTCTCATGTAATGCTATTAGGCGGAAAGGTTCTGGTGGAGGTAATCTGGATAAGATGAGGTCATGGGCACAGAGCTCTCGGTAAATAAGTCCTCACAGAAACCTAAGCTGTCTCACCTTGACCTTATACTTCCCAGTCACTGCCACTGTGAGAAATAAATTTCTGTTGTTTAAAATTTCTAATTTATGGTGTTGTGTTAACCAGTCTCAATGGAGTAAGAGTGCATACCAGTTCAAGGCAATTTAAAGAATTAAGTGACTGGTTATAATAAAACTCCTTCCATTCACATATACTTACTTATGTGAATAAGGTTCCAGCCATACATTTATAAAAGCAAAAATAAAAGTAAGTGCACTCAGTGACACTTAATGTTGAAAAAATGCTCCATTAATCTCTTTGAGGGGGCTGGAGTGATAGCACAGCGGGTAGGGCATTTGCCTTGCATGCAGCCAACATGGCTGACACAGGTTCGATTCCCAGCATCCCATATGGTCCCCCGAGCACCGCTAGGAGCAATTCCTGAGTGCATGAGCCAGGAGTAACCCCTGAGCATCGCCGGGTGTGACCCAAAAAGCAAAACAAAACAAAACAAAAAAAAACCAACCCACACATTAATCTCTTTGAAAAATACATTTTTAATAATTCACAAAAAAGTAAAATTTTACCAAAATTTCTAATTTCATGTGGATGTGGTCAATAGTGTCTTAACTGATCAATAATGGTCACTCAGAATAATTTCAAGAATATTTTAGGGGCTGGAGCATTAGTACAGCGGATATGGCATTTGCCTTGCACGTGGACGACCCTGGTTCGATTCCCAGCATCCCATATGGTCCCCTGAGTACTGCCAGGAGTAATTCCTGAGTGCAGAGCCAGGAGTAACCCCTGTGCTGAGTGTGACCCAAAAAGAAAAAAAAAAGAATATTTTATAATATTTAGTTTCATAGGTAATCAAAAATTTTAATTCATATACTTTTATTTCAAGTAGGGTCATCAGTAAGAGATACATGCATCATAAGCCTTAAAAAATCAAATTATATATTAACGTAAAAGATGCATTATAAATTCTAAGGGAACAGTGGGCTGAAAATATAAATTCAGCGAGAATGGAAAAGATACAATCTACAATTAAAGAATATGCTGTGTATTTTAAAAGACTAATAATAGGAATATCAAATTTGGAACTTTGAGTAATCATTTTATTAGAAATTATCAATAAATGCAATCTAGAACTTAAGATTCTTTGAATAAGCATTTTATTTTTGATTATTATTATTATTTTTTGCTTTCTGGGCCACCGTGGGTGGTGGTCAGGACCTACTCCTGGCTCTGTGCTCAGGGATCACTCCTGGTGGCTTGGGGGGCCAAATGGGATGCCGGGAATCAAACACGGGTTGGCTGCCTGCAAGACAAGTGCTTCACCTTCTTTAATACTGCTCTGCCCCCTGGCTATTATGAGAGAACATTTTAAATGTAAACTTAAAGGAAACAGTGCATTAAGTTCACATTTTAAGGGTATGCTGGGAAAACAAATACCACGAGTCTTAACAATGTTAAGATTTCATTAGGAAGATATAAGAAGTAAAAAATAATCTATCAGTAGAAATAATGTATCAGGAGCAAATAACTTATTTAATCTGAAAATAAATTTAGAAAGAATAATTGGCCGGAGACAGGTTTTTCCGAAAGGAGTTCTCAACAGATGCAGCACTCCAGTTCAGCCTTCGTGAGTCTACCTGTCGGTAATACCCTAAAGATCACAGTGTGGTGACTAGTAAGTGTGTGTATTCAGAGATTAGTGAAACAAGGACAGTCAACTGAAATGAAAACACTGCCTCACAACTTATTATATAAAGTTTGCTCACATTTCAAAGAAAGGCTATTTCTATAAAAATGTTTATGTTCCCACCAATCAGAGTTCCATTATTGCAATATTTATCTTGAGGTCCCTCACCTGTTTGATGCCGAGTCCCTTCTCGTGCATATATCCCAGATTAAACATAGCTTGTGCACTGTGTTGCTGCTCAGATGCTAGACGATAATGAATAAACGCAGTCTCGTAATCTACATCAGTGCCAAATCCATAGAAATGGTAGTCTCCCAGCTTAATTCTTGCTACAGTATAGCCTAGAAGAAGTAAATATAAACTTGCCTGAAGAGCATGTTTGAAACAGAGGAAATTGCTATTTTTTGCTTGTGAAAACAGTTACCCATAAAATCAAGAACTTTTGGCTCATAGTATACAAACATAGTATCAAACCCTTCAGCTAAATTACAAATTCAGTATGAAATTAAGCTAGAAGCATGGCTCTCCTAAAGGCTTTCTAATAGATATGCAATTCACTAGTAATACTCTTCAAATGATCATGCTTTATTCTACCAGGTCAGTTACATTTTAAAATAGCTCAATTTAACACTATAGTGCTACAAAAAAACAAAACCAAAATCCAAGATAAAATGAAATGGTTCAACTTGACCACTGTTTCTACCTAGAAGGGGAAGTGTGGGGGGAGGTAGTAACTCTGAGAGGGGAGAGACTGAGAAATTGAAATTCAAATGCAAAAGAATGCACAAATGTTAAAAGTCTCTGGACAACTGGAAGAAACCTGAATGCCCAAGAACAGATGACTGGTTAAAGAAACTTTGGTACATCTACACAATGGAGTACTATGTAGCTCTTAGAAAAGATGAAGTCATGAAATTTACATACAAGTGGTACAATATGGAAAGTATCATGCTAAGTGAAATGAGTCAGAAAGAGAGGAATAGACATAGAAAGATTGCATTCATCTGGGGGATATAAAGTAACAAAGTATGAGATTAATACCCAAGAATAGCTGAGATCAGCACCAGGAGGATTACTCCATAACTTAGAGGTCAGCCGGGTATCCTAGAGGAAAGGGCTGTTCAGATAGAGAAGGGAGCACCAAATAAAGGATGTTTGGAGGATCCTCCCAGGAGGGGAGATGCATGTCGAAAGTAGACTATGGACTGAACATGTTTGCCACTCAATGCCTCTTTTGCAGACCACAACACCCAAAAGGAGAGAGAGAACACAGGGGATTGCCCTGCCACAGAGACAGGGGGGATGGGGGGATGGGGGTGGGAGGGATATTATCCATGGTGGTGGAAAATGGGCACTGGTGGAGGGATGGGTATCTGATCATTGTATAATTGAAACCAAAGCACAAAAAATTGTAAATCTACAACTTTAAAAAAAATAAAATAAAATAAAGGGAAAAAAAAAAAGTCTCTGGGCTTTAGGCTGATATTTTAGCATACAATCTATTTGATTCCCCCCCCCCCCCCCCAATACTGGATTCAAACTAAAAAAGTGAACTATACTGTAAATGTCCATGGAAAAGAGACTCAAATTCAACTGATAAAGGCTGGGCCTAGAACCAAAATATTTCTATTTTAAGAGTAAATAACATTCATGATGCAAACAAGCTAAATCACTAGTTAAGAACTCTGCTTAAGTTTAAGGTGATAACACAATTCATTCTTTATGGGAGAGTAAAAAAAAAAAAAAACAAAACTGTAAGAAAAGCTCTCTGGGAAAATCACAGAACCAACACTCACCCTGAGAGGCGGCCCTATTCCAGTGTAGCAGAGCTCGGGGGTAAGTTTCATTCTCGCCCACAATGGTCGCTTCCCCTACAGGAAAGGTGAAATATGAACAAGGCATTCAAGGAAAGGCAATACATTTTGAGGTTTCATTTGCAAACTAGACTGCACATGTGGAGTACAATTAAAACAAGAATTGAGTATAATAGGTATTAAATGATGATTAGGATAAAATGTTGAGTTCTCTGAAGCACTACAGTCAGGACAACGCTACTTCCTGAAACTCGTTTTATCCGAGGAACCAAATAATGAAATCAATTTCCGACGGAGCCACCCCTAGGGATTTACATATTGCTGGAAAAACAATGTTTTCACATCTGCTGAATTTTGAAAACATGTACTTAACGAATGCACTGAATTTTATGATAAATGTCACCACTGGAAATAAAACACACTTTGAAGACTTAGGTGTTGCTGAGTGTTACCCATCTCTTTACAATAATACAGAAATTTCTAGGTGACCTTTCAGGCAAGTTAACCTAATCTGAATCTTTGTATTCTAAACCAAAGACAGGACTAAGATTAGCCTTACTCTGATCGAGAATGAAGGCTGCGTTGCTCTGCGCCACTTCATAGCCCTGTTCTGCCAGAAGGAGGTACTGGATCACTGCGCCATTATAGTCACCGTCTTTGTAACTGTTATAGGCGCTCATAAGCCTTTCAGACCAGCGGCCTCGTTCACATACATTCTTAAACAGCTGCAAGAACGGGAAAGGAAAACGTATTTCAGTTCAAAAATAAGAAATACATGCCAGAAAACTGTTTTTTTCTGAGGATTATTAAGTTTGTCTTTTGAATGTCTGGCAAGTTTACGAAATATACATGAAAGTGCGGGGTATTTAAGTGTTCACTGAGTGTTTAGTACAGGTTTGTAAAAATAGTACCAATTAGTTAGGCATCATTTTCCTGCCTCGGCACTGTTCCCACATTTCATGGGCATGCTTGTGAACCAAACAGAGGGACTACTGTATGAGGTCCATCTATTCAGACGGCACTCTACAAGTCAGGGAACTCAAGCACAGATTCATAAACTTTGCTAAGCATATGCCATGCTACTCAAATTTTGCCAGCTAAGAGAGAGATAAAGAAAAATAAGTAGGGAAGATGACCATTTTCATTTACAACACTCAGTTAACATAGAATTTTTTTGTCTTTGTGCCATACTTGGAGGTGCTCAGGGCTTAGTCCTGGCTCCGTGTTCAGGGATCACTCCTGGCAGAGCTTGGGGGACCACATATGGTACCAGGGCTCGAACCCGGGTTGGATACATGCCAGGCAAGCGCCCTACCTGCTGGGCTATCTCCCACAAACATTTTCTAAAAGCAATGTCTCAATACTGTCCTTGGTATTAAAGTGATTTAGACAATAATAAATTAGAGTCTTTAATTTCTAAGTTGAAGAGACTTGGACAATAATATCTATACACATGTACAGATGATAATATCAAAAAATTCTAAGAAGGAAAGATAAGAGAAATAAATACACAAAGCTGTAACAGAATCTCACAGTCTTCCCTGAGTGTTAGCAGGCTTAGTCTATTTCTTTTCTTGGGGGAAGGGAGAGGTGTCACAACGGACAGTGCTCAGGGCTTACTCCTGGCTCTGCACTCAGAAATTACTCCTGGCAGTGCTGGGGGGACCACAGAAGGTGCCAGGGGTTTATCCCTATCTGCTCCACTATTGTTCCTGACCCGGGCCGAGTCTACTTCTACTTGGAAGGAATCATGCAAAGAAAACCAGAATGAAAGAGCAGAGCTTTTCCTATGGGGCAAATCAATTTCCTATCTTCCCAGCCGGCAGGAAAATCCCCACCTCCACTGCCGTGTGGCAGGACCGCATGACTCCGGTGCCGCTGGCGTGCATCTGTGCCAGGTTGTAGAAAGCCAAGATGTGGCCTCCCTGAGAAGCTAAGTTAAAATACTTCAAGGCCTGTTTGTAATCTCTTTTGACTCCAATGCCATCTGTAAGGGGGAAAAAACAAACAAACAAAACAAATCACACCGAAGGTCAGGAAAAGTTTGAAGACTGAGCCGAAGTCTTAGTTTTCTAGAGGAGGAAGGACGTGAAGAGATATTTGGAGTTCTAAGATGTGAAGCTAGTAGAGATTCATGAACTCATACAGATGAATCTAATTTACCATGAAACGGGATGCACGAATCACTAAATTGAGAGGACATTAGTCAGAACTCAAGAGCTAGCAATTTCGTCTCATGGGGGTGCCTAGCCAAGAAATCAAAGAAATCTCTAAGACAGTGCATCGATTTCGGTGCTGCTTACTATAGTACATAGAGCCCAGCTGGAGCTGCCCGTCCACCCAGCCTTGCTCAGCTGCCTTCTGGAAATACTTCAGCGCCAGATCGTAATTCTGTAGACAAAAAGAGAGTCCATCGTGAGAAAACTCAAAAGGCTGATTTAATGATTTACTCGCTGAAAAGAATGAAGCCCTCAAAAAGCCATTCTTAGAAGAGCCAATAAATGAACTACTTTATAGTTTTTTAAATGATACACAAATGATAATATACTTTTAGTCATAGGGGACTAACAATAACGTGAAGGAAAGCAAATCACTCTTATGAAACAACTATATATTTATCCACAGAAAGTATTAAAAAAAACCAGTAAAACACAAAGCCAGAAATTCTGAAACAATCATTATCTTTTCTATTAACCAATGAATCCTTTTAAAACTTCAATTTTCCCCCTGGCTTAAATAAGGGAAATTAGTCTTTATCTGTTCCTTCCTTGGGCAGATTACTACACATTACATAACTGCTAGATCTCAAATATCACACATGTTCATGAGAAAAGTTAAAACAAAGATCATGATTGGACTTTAATATTCTAAAATGCTTAGAAGCAAAATCGAAACACTGTACTGTCTTTTGTTTTAGAAAATACCTAGAGATTAAAATCCTAAACCGGGTTTTGGATCCAAATTAAAAGAACCCAACTTTCTGCAGAAACCACACAGAGGAGGGGATTACCAATGAAAATCCAGAAGTATCCAACATGAGAAAGTGGCAGAGGAGAATGGGAAGCAATGGCCCAAGAAAACCAAGAGAACTTGCAGTCAACAGAACTCCAAGGAAGAGAGGTTAAATGGAGCAGGAGCAACAAATGGTCAACTGGAGCTGACACTTAGTTCCTGGTGAGCTATACAGAGCAGTTACCTAAGATAGCGTCATGATTGCTAAGAGCTAAAGAGCAGCTATCAGAGTTCATTCTTTGGAGAAACTCGGCTTTGAGAGAGGAGAGAGGAGGTGGTAGAAGGGCAAAGGGCAGTACAGAAAGCTTGCTGTCTCCTAAATGGGAGGGACTCAAGCATTTCTTAGGCTTAAGTTGCAAGGGGGGAGCTTAAACCCTGGCCATCTGGAAGACAGTAGGAGAGAGAATGGGTAGAACAGCAGGAAGCAACTTCCCACTAGAGTACAAGCTACCAGAAAGCCACTCAAAGAAAGCCATTGATCTGCTGGTTTTGTGGTGGTTGGGATCAAAACTCAGACACAAAAAAAAGGCTCAGCTTTGGTCATAACCAAACAGCCTCACCTGGGTTGCTTGGGAGCTGATGAAGGAACACAGCCCTACCTCCCTGGCTCACTGCTTGTTAAAGTCAGAATGTCGGACTGGTAACGTACCACTTGAACCCCTCTTCCGTAGAGGTAAGCCATTCCAAGCCCACTCTGTCCAACTGGATTGCCCTGGACACCAGAAACAAAAGCACAAAAGGATTCGTTAAGTGACTGCAAAAGAAGTATCTGACACACACATTCAAAATAGGCCTCAGTACTTCTCAACTGATAACAACCTGGCTAAACACAGTATTGACTCAGACATTTGGAGGCTTTCAATACTCTGCTGAAAAAAAAGCAAATAGTACATTTATTTAGAAGTACATTTTGGTGACTAGCCCTATGAACATCTGTTCCATAATTTATGATATAAAATGACTAGTGCATTTCATCTCTTTAGAATAACACATTTCATCTCAATTTTTTAATTGTAGTTTTTCCATTAGTGACTGTCCACTCCAATAAAGAAGATACCATGGTGCAGAGTCGGCAACCACATAATAAAAGCAACAGTGGGATCAGTTGGCAAAGATAGGTTTAAGAGATCATCTTGCCAGCGCCCATTTCCAAAAGAACATGACACCACCGAATCTTCCCAGGCAGACTGATCTACGCGGAGAACACTGGGGTCTTCTCAGAATGGGGGAGGCCGATTCTCCCTTCTGCCTGAAGGCACAGCATCCCCAGTTACATCCAACAGCCTCTGACAAAGAAAGAGCCCAGCTCCATAACTGAACCTCATCAAACTGCCAAGCCACTAAACTGTTCCAGAACGACAGCTACAAGACTGTGCAGCCACGTATGAATTTCATAGCATCGTCAGCCTAGTAGGACCACAGCAAATCTGATGGGAAAGTTGCAGAGAAAATCACCAAGCTCAGTGAGCCTGAACAATAACACAGGAGGATCAATGAGCACTAACCCGCAGAGTAGATCCTCAGATAATGACTGTATAAACAGCACGGTGAGATAGAACAATTATCATAAACTGACTTTCACGGATCTAAGTTTTGATGATCCCATTTGCCTTTGTGTTGTAACAATATGAAGTAAATTTGTTTGTGCCTGAGAGCGGGCAGGCTGGAGTGGTGGGTGGGAAACTGGTAGAGGGAAGGTCCTATCAGTGGTGGGATTGGTGTTGGAATACACAATGCCTGAAACAAACTGTATTATGAACATCTTCGGAAATCACGGTTATAAAAAACATTTTTAAAAATTTAAAGTATCATGCACAAAGTTATGTTTAAGATTATGGGAACCTTGTAGAGCAAACTGTTTTAAAACCTACAAAGAAAAACCATCTAGAATTTATCTAAAGCTGGAGGAACAGAAAACAATGTGACAGTCTCCTTTGGAAAACACTCAAGTGACATTTGGAATTATAGTAACATGCAATTGGTTGGCAATGTATGATGAAACATATGCACTAGAGATGTATAACGGGTCTTAAATACTTGCCTAATTTTCTCCAGGCCCCAGAGTACTATAGCACTGTCCTCCCGTTCATTGATTTGCTCAAGCGGGCACCAGTAATGTCTCCATTGTGAGACTTGTTTTTACTGTTTTTGGCATATCAAATATGCCACGGAGAGCTTGCCAGGCTCTGTCATGCAGGTGAGATACTGTCGGTAGCTTGCTGGGCTCTATGCTTATAAAAAATATAAGCATTATACTAAATTAATGCTTATATTTTTTTACTTATTCTAAATTTAGTATGCTTTTTTAATTTATATCATCCTAAGTTTAGTATATACTTAATTTATGTCTAAATTAAGATCTATTCCTAGAACATTTATGTTCTCTATTTAAAAGTTAAATAATCTAACATAAACATTATTTACACAAATACATACATGAGCATGTGTTATGAATATTTAATTAACCTTATAGCTAATTTGAGAGCCCACAAAGGCAACTGGTATACAAAACATTAGTTCAATAAAAATACAAAGTTACTAATAAAATGTCAAAAATCTAACAATTTATGAGGATGGTTCTCAATGTTTAACAGATAAACATATTTAGTTTATAATGTATATACTGCAGATTACTTAAAACAAACCTGCCAGATTCAGGACAAAATTAAGGACTTCCAGAAAGACAAAAAAACCATAAAATTACTCAAATTTGTCACACACACACACACACACACACACACGTCTGTAGTCATTAGAGATATGTTTTTCCATCTGAGAGAAGCTTGCCATGATATTCTGAAAGCCACAATTACCTTATCTCACAGAATCTGACATCAACTGAAAATTGGCAGACAGAATAAAATTCAGAGGTAACAAGGTCACAGGAAGTGGTTATACCAGACCTCATTTTTCATTAAATCCTCTTACAGGCTTAAAAAATGACTCTGATCATTTCATACTGCTGTGGTGGGATGCAAGGAGTTATAGACCAACTAAGTTGGGAAACCTTGATTCTCAGTGAAGCAATGAAAGATTCACAGGTAAAATTATGTGTTCAAGATTATATTCCTTGGGGCTGGAGAGATGGTGCAGTGGGTAGGGCGTTTGTCATGTAAGCAGCTGATCTGGTTTCCATCCCCAACATTCCACGTGGTTCTTCGAGGACTGATCCTTGAGTGCAGAGCCAGGAGTAAGCCCTTAGCATCGCCAGGTGTGCTAGGTCCACCCCTACCTCCCAAAAAGATCACATTTCTTAAAGGGCAGAGTTAAGCTCAAATCCAACTCTACTCTTGGTTTAAAGATCTTTCTATCTCTTTCATGGGTGGGATGGGGGGGATGGGGAGTGGGAGGGATACTGGGATCAGTGGTGGTGGAGAATGAGCACTGGTGGAGGGATGGGTGTTCGATCACTCTATAACTGAAACCCAAGCACAAAAATTTGTAAGTCTACAACTGTATCTCATGATGTTTCACTAATAAAAATTGAAAAAAAAAACCTTGTAAAATTATAAGCATAATTCTGCAAATGCCCTAAAGAGAAAACAAATAAAAAAATCAGCTAATTTTGTTGCCCCATTCGCCCTCTCCTCTCTGGAAAGAAAGATGGCGGCCACATGGGAGCCTTGTGGACAGCAGGTATGAGCCGGGAGTGTGGGGGCGACTAAAACCTCATGGGAAGGGGGGCGTTCCGGTCCGTCCTTCACGCCCTACCGAGGTCACCAGTTGCCCCCCACGAGCGGCTCTCCAGCACGGCCACAGCCCCAGAAGCACAAGGGCTTAATGCAGAACCCAGCAGCTTGGAGCAGAAAAGTGAAAGGACTATGCGTTAATCCAGGCAATCATTTCTGCCCAGAGGGGAAAGGGTGTTGCTCCCTTCCGCCCTCCTCCCTCTGGAAAGAAAGATGGCGGCCACATGGGAGCCTTGTGGACAGCAGGTATGAGCCGGGGGAGTGGGGGCGACTAAAACCTCATGGGTCGGGGGGCGTTCCGGTCCGTCCTTCATGCCCTACCGAGGTCACAAGTCGCCCCCCGCGAGCGGCTCTCCAGCACGGCCATGGCCCCAGAAGCACAAGGACTTAATGCAGAACCCAGCAGCTTGGAGCAGAAAAGTGAACGGACTATGCGTTGATCCAGCCCATCAAGTCTGCCGGAGGGGAAAGGGTGTTGCCCCATTCGCCCTCTCCTCTCTGGAAAGAAAGATGGCGGCCACATGGGAGCCTTGTGGACAGCAGGTATGAGCCGGGAGTGTGGGGGCGACTAAAACCTCATGGGAAGGGGGGCGTTTCGCTCCGCCCTTCACGCCCTACCGAGGCCACCAGTTGCCCCCCACGAGCGGCTCTCCAGCACGGCCACGACTCCAGAACACAGAAACCAATTTCTTACCTATCTGACTTTCAGTAGAAATACTTCCAGGGTCAATAGGTAAAATAGCAGAAATCCAAAACCAACATTTAATTCTTGAACCCAGCTGTAGAAAGCAAATCACTTCACAATGCTTTTTCAGCATGTCTGATTTGGGGGGGGGGGTAAACTCTAAATAATAGTGGTGAATCTTTTATTGAAACAATCTAATCAAAGCGGATAGAGTGTTAACTAGAATTCATCTGCCTCACAGGGACGGGGAGGGTTGGGGGGTGGGGTTTTATTGGGGTTCTTCATGGGAAAAAATAAGTATTGGTAAAGGGAAATGTGTTTGATATTTGCATGACTGAGACATAAACCTGAAAGCTTTGTAACCTTTCCCACAGTGATTCAATAAATAAATAAAAAAAAAAATCAGCTAATTTTACTACCTGATGGTTTGGGGTTAGGTGCTGTTCCCCTTTATAGGTGCTATTTCCCTCTATCACCTTTCCAAGTTGGAAGTTTCTGAAAGGATTTCTGAGGGGTTTTTAAGCCTGTATGAGGATTTAATGAAATGTGGGGCCCAGGCCCCCCAAATCCTACATTATATGACTGGTTGTCAAAAATATCCAATAAATTATGTAATTCCAACTTCATTACTAAATCATTATTTTCCTGATCAGGAAACTTCTCAATTAAACTGAAAAGAAACAATGATCTGGTTCTTAAGAATATATATATTTTTTTAATCGGAAAACTTTATACTTAATTCACTCACTTGAATCATAGTTACATAGTGCTTTAAATTATTTATGGCACGTTTAGCATTAGTCCTTCAATAAAATGAATGTATTTATGGAGAGAATAGTAATATGGCACACCTGAATGTACCAAACGCTGATACACTGGTTTATAACACACTTGAGCTATAAAGTCTTACCATGTCAGCAGCTTTCTTAAAGTAGAGAAGAGCTGTCTCATTGCTCTGTGGTACAATATCACTTCCCTCTGAGTACATCTGGAAAACAGACCTCAATGTCACTGAAAGTAGAATCTCTCTCTACTTACATTTTTCACCGCACATCTCATTCTGATTTTTGATGTACTGAAACACTGCAGTACAATTTAAAATTCCCTACAGGCAATTTTGAAATCATAGGCAAAGCTTTAACAGTCAACCTTTTTATAGAATTCTTTTCTGTCGCATCACATTTATGATTTCTGAGTCATAATATATCTATGAATCACTTAACTATTATAAACATGAGTACATAAAATCAGTGCATAGGTCAATCTCTGAAGAAAATTTGTTTTCTCACTCCAGGCCAGAGGCGACACATTGCTTGGGATCAGTGATTAAAATGAGGAAGAAGAATGGTGAGCAATGCTCACTGTTGTGGGCCACACTGGAGGTGCTCAAGGGCCTACTCTAGACTGTGTGCTTAGGTTCATCTACTTAACAGGCTTGGACACCAGATGGGACACCAGTGATGAAGCTTGGTCAGTCACATGCAAGATCGATTTATACTTAATTCACTCACCCAAATCATAGAGGTTGCCCCACCCTCTATACTATTGCTCCAGCCCAAAGGTAGGTATTAAGAAAAATGAAAAACTAAAAATCTATTTTGAAAGATTTCAAACATGAAATTGTTGAAATATTAGGCATAAAATATGCTAATAAAAGAAAAATGAAACTATCAGAACTTTTTACATAGTAAGGAGAAAGATAGAGAAAAGTGGTTTTTTTTTGTTTTTTTGAGATAAGGGTAATTAGTGACTAAGAGCAGGCCTTCTAAAACTATTTTCACCTGCAAATCCTTTGTTCTTGATAGTCTTATGTGATGCTGGACATATACACAAATCAAACATCTGCTGATAATAAACAATGAATTTAAAATTTTTCCTGACCCCCAAGTTTGGTTACAGGATTTTGCTCCATGGTTGAAGAAGCAAAAATCACAGGAACAGAATGAAGTTTTTAAGAAAACTGAACGAGGCATTCCAATTTCTATGCTGTCATGATAGAAATGTCTAAATGTAAAAATTCTTCAGTCTTAAATAACTAATTGCAGTTAGTTGCTTTTTCTCTTTGGGGAAACTCTGCATCGCATACAATTTGAGCCTCCAAACCTTAGGGTTCAGTTATGCAAAAAAAAAAAAATCATTGGTTTTACATTTTGTTTTGCTTTCATAATAATGCAAAAGTTCTGAGACTGTGCCATGACATATGGACTATGTCCATTATGTTCCTAGATGTAAATATTTTCTTGCCTGAGAACCTTACTGAGGGGTGTATGATTGGCTAGAATATTTAAGACAATTAAGAGCGCTCCTCGAGGTCAAGGAGACTATACGGGAGCCAGGGAACAAAGAAGACACGCCCCCGGTTATCATCTATGGTAACCACACGGCCTCACAAGCATTGCTTGACGGAGCCCTGGAAGTCTCTGAGCATCATGAGATTTGGCCCTTAAGACCCTGGAGCACAGCCAGCTGCCCGAGCGGCACCCAGCAAAGGGCCTGAGCAGTACCTGATCCTTGGGCCCAAGCACTAAACCACTGGCCTGGTTGTCTCAAGATGGGCACGGGGGTGGGGCTGGGGGGTTAATTCCCACAAACCTGGGAGGCGCTCCCACCTTAAATCAAGCTAAAAAGACCTTAAATCGAGCTCCAACACATTCTAATTGCCTCTACTCAGTATGGGAGGAAACAATTGTGAAAGACTTAATAATAAGAATGTGCAATGTAAGAGATAAATTCCTTATTATTGCACAGAATACACAAAAAGTAGTTCAGATAGTGATAGTTCACTTTAATGGGGAATTAACATACAGTTGAGCAAATGATATTTATTTAAAAAAAAAGTTTCAGAACACTTAAGATAGAGTATCCTTATATTAGAAATGTTATTTCCAGTTTGTTTTTGCAAGCTGCAGATCCTGAATACAGTACATGTATCATGCCAACACATCTTGTTATTACATAACAGAGCTGCAGGAGGGACAGTACCTTTCCCAAGAAGGCCATCGCGTGCGAATTGCCAGCATTAGCTGCTAAATTGAAGTAATCAAATGCTCTCTGTGAGAAAACAATGTATTAAAAGCAATCAGCTCCTAAAAGACTCTTATCTCTGACTTTTATTCAAAATAACTACTTCAGGAACAATTAAACACTCATTATATTACCACAGCTTGATTTTAGTACACAGTGATATCATGAATTGGTCACCCCAAATAGCTGTTTCCCATCACTCTCGTATCTGATCAATTACCATGTTGCTTTACCACCAAACCACCCTGAATCCATTTCATATTCTCTACAGCCACAATCCTACTCTAAGCAACATCATCTCTCACCTGGACTTTGGGACTATATTCCCCTTACTGATCTTTTATTCTTTGGTTTATTCAAACCCCAACATGCCGCTCTTTATTGCTACTGGGGTTGTTGTGGGGAATCAAATGACATCATCAGACCCTGATAATCTTAGCTGCATTTTGCTCTGGGCACTTTGGAATCCTAAAATTTGCTCCTTCCTGCTTAAGGACTAACATCTACTATTCCTTTGGCTTCAAATGATTCCATCTCCAGGTCTACCTTACACATCATTCATTTCACAGAGATGTTACCCTTGACAACTTCCACTTCCCAGTTGTTAACTATACTAGATTCTGTAATTCTCTTCAGTAACAAGTATCATTTTTTCGGTGTGACCACTTAAAAAATATCCAATGCTTCTAGTAAACTTGAAGCTCCCTAAGGAAAAATTCAAAGTGATTTTTTCTTGCATGGCACCCTGAATGCTGATATAACACATAGTAGCACTGCTGCACTGTCCTCCTGCTGTTCATTGACTTGTCCCAGCGGGCCCAGTAATGTCTGCATTGTGAGACTTGTTGTTACTGTGTTTGGCATATCTAAAACGTCACGGGTAGCTTGCCAGGCTTTGCCTTGCAGGCAAGATACTCTCGGTAGCTTGCCGGGTTCTTCAAGAGGGGAGGAGGAATCGAATTTGGGTCAGCCGCATACAAGGCAAATGCCCTACCCGCTGTGCTATCGCTCCAGCCCATGACACGTAGTAGGTACTCAAATATAAGCTGAATGACTGTAACAACATATTGGAAGCTCCTTTTCATTCTTCTCCAAAGTGGGTGAAACCTTCACACTGTTGTTGCTTTATACGTCCCAGCGTGTTCCACCAAGAATAAGCCAAAATTTGTACAAAAGGTATGAAGCAAACTCTTACCCAGAATTCTGTCCTCTGCTTTTATTAACCAGTTCATCTGGTACTTCCCTGGCCTAATGCCAACTTTTAATGACATGGGAACAATAAAAGCTGTAAAATTGCTATGTGAATTAAATTGTTCTAATTTTTGCCAAGGCATCAAAAATCAGATGGTCTGGACACGTAATGAGGTTTAGAGATGACCACTGGACTAAAGCCACTACTGACTGGATTCCACGGGATGTCAAAAGATCGTGTGGACACCCACCTACAAGATGGTCAGACTTCTTCATCAAGACCCTAAATGATTGGTTTGAGGCTCTGCATATTCCTAGAACAAGCAGATGCCATTGGGCTACGCCAGCACGTAACAGGGATGAATGGAGACGTTACTGGCACCTGCTCGAGTAAATCGATGAGTAATGGGGTATCAAGTGATCAAGTGAATTTTTGGTGAAGCAAAATAGTTTTACTAAAAAAAAAAGATACTGAGGGAAGTTTTAAGGAGCTAGAAAAAGAAGCATTCTTTATAAGAGAGAACAGAGGCTTCTTCAGAGCAGATAATGAAGAGAATGGCTTTTGGGAGAAGTCTGTGTACAATTTTTCCAAATGATCTTGGACTGGAATCTTCCTCTAGTAAGTCTTCCCTGAGCCCCAACCACGTTCTAGGAATATGTCATGTACCATATAAGTGATTTTTGAAAACTGGTATTTCTTGAAGCGCTCATCGGTTAGTTCCTTATGTAAAAGTTGTATTTTCTGCCAGAACATGAACAGTATCTGCCTGGCTTGCTACTTTATTTCTTGTGCATGATGGTGCCTGGCACAGACAGATGTTCAGTAATATTGTTGAAACTGTTTCTACAAAGCTAGTTACGTATTATAATTAGTTATTTCATCTACCCCATTTCTTCAGCTTTAAGAGTTAGATCATAATAAAATAGACGTATCACTAAAACTATACCAATACCTCTATTTTTAAAAATAAGTTATTTACTTAAAGGCAGGAGGACCACATCCCTTTTGGGGTATAAATAACGAACTCTTTGGGGTTGGAAAAACTAAGGCACAACCCAGATGGGTGCAGGAAACTGGGATGGATAAACCCGAAGCATTAACTTGGGGCACCATGTAGAAACGGGTGGGCCCTCTCAGAGAAGGAGAAGCTACAGGAGAGTCTAAAGTCATGATAAGAACATAAAAAGACCATCAAGAGTCCAAAACTTTCCCTGTGACAACACCCAGCTTCGTCTTTTTTTTTTTTTTGTATGCAGAGAACTCCAGGTTGAATTCTGCAGGATTATTAGGAATTGGCTATAAGAAGGAAGAGGTGGGGCGTGAGGGGTAATATTCCCTTAAGAGAGGGAGCAGCATTCCAGGAGTCCTCAGGCACAGGCTCTGGATATTTTCAAAGGCCTCAGAGAAGGTCTGCGTGTCTGCGACTCAGAAAGCACTGAGCTGGTCAGGTAGAGAGATTGCTACAGGGCCTGAGGGAACATGGTAAAGCTTCTGATTTTAAGCTACTGGGTTATCGTAGACCATTCAAAAAAAGTTTAAAGCAAGGGATAATATAAAGGCTACTGCTGAGAAAAGGCAAGCAGCACATGAGTCACACAAGTGACAGATGCAGGGACGGAAGAAGGAAGAGCAGAGTGGTATTCAGGAGACAGGGCAGGGGCACGGCTGACTGCTATGGCTGTATAGTCTTCATTCTCCATCATTTCATGATTCTCCTCAGCTCTACTAAATCTCTTCTAATAGAAGTTTTAAGACACTTTCAAGAAAAACCTATAGAAAATCAAGATGCTGCATCTCCCTCTTTGGCAGTTTTGAGAACTACAGTTTGGAACCTCCACACGAGGTCAAAAAAAAAAAACGTTATTTTTTTTTCCCCTTCAGCTATGCCCTGGGCTTAATTTGATCTTGGAAGTTCATAGTGATTATTTTCATTGTAATGATGGTGACTGACTCGAGCATCACTTCTCACTGATACTGCAACAGGCAGTGTGGAGCCTGGGAACAGGAAAGTTACCTGATGGTTCTGCTCTACTCCTCGGCCTCCGTGCAGGTGCAGCTGGCCCAGACCAACCTGAATGTGAACAGAATTGAGATAAGCGTCAACAATAGTATTGAGTATGCAATTAAATTCAACTGGTAGGGAACTGTGTGGTTAAAAAAAGATTTCTCTTCATGACAGCAATTTTGTTTTAATTCCTGACGATACTACACTACTATTCACCAACCTTTTTACAAAACTGAAAAATGTGCATTTTAAATTAAAAGGCTCCTTCTGAGATGAAGATAGAATTAAGACATCTCCAGATGAACTAAAATGGAATTTGTCACCAATAAACCTATTCTAAAGGAAATACTAGAGTATTCAAAAAAAAAAAATCAAATAGAATGTCTTGAGTGTGAGACTTGGTGATTTTTAAAAGGTCATCAGGTGTTCTAACATATAGCTAATATTTGGCCAGAGCAATGAAAATATTACTTAAACACAAATCGGGATGCAAGATATCCCACGAAATGCTGAAACACATACCTGTGCTTGTACATCACCTTTTTCAGCTAGAAACTGGTAATACTGGATCAAATCTTCTTCTAGCATTCCACTGTTCATTCCTGGATTTTCTACCTCATCAGGCAGTCGTATTCTCTGTACTACTGAGCCTCCAGTCAGAGAGATGTCACTAGCAACTAAAAAGTGGGAACAAAGTAATAACATGAAGAACGTCAGAAGGACTGCCCCACACAGATGCAGAAGTTCTGCTGTCAGTGAGGGTAAGACACCATGTTAAAAAAAAAGATCCTGTAAAGTTATGGACTACACAAATATCCATAAAACATTTAAGAATTAAAAGCCAAAGCAAAAAGTTTTTTAAAGGTACTTCTTGATCAACTAGTATAAAGAAAGATATTTCTACTCAAGTTGCTCATGCTATTTCAAGTAGTATAATAATTGTTAGAATTAATCCCATAGATATTTACGTTCTGTAAGGCGAAATGTAAAAAAATAGATACCATGATTGGCAACAAGACGGTAGTGGGTGAGTGCAGATTCACAGCTCTGAAGGACTCCAATGCCAGCCCAGTATCGGTAACCCTGTAAGACAAGCTTCAGGTGAGAGACCATAGTTTCACATGCTCTGGAGGCACTCTTGTTGGAACTCGCAAGCCAACCATATTTAGAATGCTACTCTGTCATCTTTAGACTCAATTATACCACAATGTCATTTACCTCAGACTTCCAGGTTCTGAGGTAATTTATTCAGCACCTTCAATGACTAGACTAGGGTTTAAAAACAGGAAATGTAAGTAATAGTTTCAAAATAAACCTTTGAGACATCATGTACGAAATGTATGCACTTTACGTCTAAACTAAGTGTAAAGAGCAGAGATTCAAGCTGGAGCTCTCTGGAGTCATTCAGCATAAACTCAAATAATTTTCTTTCTTTTTTTTTTCTTTTTGGGTCACACCCGGCAATGCTCGGGTTACTCTGGCTTTGCATTGAGGAATCACTCCTGGTGGTGCTGAGAGGACCATATGGGATGCTGGGAATCAAACCTGGGTCAGCCGCGTGCAAGGCAAATGCCCTACCCGCTGTGCTAACACTCCAGCCCCTAATTTTTATTTATTTATTTATATATCACCCCTGAGCCCCTAATTTTTAAACTTTATACACAGGACATTACTGTTGAGAAATATATAACATGTTTCACCCTACAAAACTATTTTCATATTTCTTCAAAATCACCTCAAATGAATGTTCTCATTATAATTTAAGGAATAAATGTTAGTGTAAACAGAGGGTATGGTGCCCCCAGTAGGTCAACTTGTACACGAAGGGTGAGTGCACTGGCATTCTGATACCTAAAAATTGTTGCTGTGCCTTTGGTCAGACTCCAACAACTTGGGACCAAGTTTCCCAAGAAATTAAGTGGCCAGAAGTTAGGTAGGCGGGAGCGGTGCCCCCAAACCACCTCCGGCTCAGCTATACAAGCTAATTCACTGGCCTTATTTCAGAGACCCATAAATAAATCTTGAGAGAGATCAAAAGTCACAGTTAATCTTGGACCCATGCTTGCTAAACAGACTGGAGTAAATCATAGGGGGGCGGGTTAGGCTGGTGCCTGCCCAAGCAGAGCCCCTGGCAGCTGGCTGCTTCCATAATCCAAAATGGTGTCATGCCCACAGCCTTACTCCACTGTCTCAGGAAGGACCTCACTGAGATATAATCTACAGAAAATTTGGGTTATGTACGTTTTGTGACTGAAATCTCCAGGCATTCTCAGGGTCGTGATGGGCTATCACTCCTAACCTCTCTGTACTTTTGGAAGACTTGGGTGTCACCTCCACACCCCAAAATTGACAGTTAAAAACCTACTCCCAATAAATATACTAAATGCCCTCAACAAAAATGATGTCCATGTAGCACTTGTATTGCAAGCCAAAATGCACAAAAGGAAAAGGGGTGGGGGGGGGGGAGCGAGCGAGCGAGAGAGAGAGAGAGAGAGAGAGAGAGAGAGAGAGAGAGAGAGAGAGAGAGCGCACGAGCGAGCGATGCCTGCTGGTGGGAAATGCACACTGGGGGAAGGATGGGTGTTGGACCATTGTATGTCTTAAATCCAATCATGAACAGCTTTGTAATGGTCTATCTCACGGATATTCAATTAAAAAAATCAGAAAAAAAAATAATGTGGGGTTTATGCCCACTTCAGTCAGCTTAATTAGTGGCTAAATAGCAGTAAAGTACTCCTACATTTTTTTTTTAAAGTCAGTGTAAACAAAACCTGCCTTCAGAAATTAGGCATGTTTCAGAAATATCACCCTTGGTTTAAGTTCCTTTAATTGCTTACGGATCACAGCATGGAACCTAAGCTTATTAGCACAATATACAGCCCATCACTCTGATCTGTCTACCTCTTGGCAGATGAACTACTTGGCAATCTACCCTCCAGCTACCATCAGTACTGGCACTTGTCTTGCAAACACCACATATCCTCTTGCTACTGTCCTTTTGCATATGCTGCTTTTGAAGTCTGAACACACATCACTGGTCCTTTCATTCTCTAATATCTTATCTGCAGAAACCATTTTGGTGGCATTATTCCTCAAACTAATTTAAATCCTCTTCTTTCCAATCCCAATGTGGATCAGGTGTCTTTCCAGATGCTTCCTTAAATTCTCATCCATATTGTCATAGCCTCCATACTTGTGTTTCCTTTTGTAGAATGAAAGCCTGCTCAACACTGGTACAGCATCTTGTTGGTTTTTGGATAAATTCCAGTGGTAAGTATTCAATAAATACTTCTTGAATGCCTATAGGCAAAGCTATCTAGGATTCATGCGGCTGGCAAGAAACCCAGACCTTCCTTGTTATGCCTCATATCCTATTAATGACCAAGCCTGTAGATCCTTCCCATAATTTTGGACTGGTTTCTCTTTCAGTCCCTTTTCTGCTCTTCTCTTTTTACAATTCTTCAAGAATCCACTTACTCACTTGGAACATAGTAACATGAGTCAGAGGTCAAATGACTTAATCAAAGTCAATTTATAAAGAGAAGGCAGGGTAAACATCTCAGCAAAAAGTTTGCTCGACTCTTTCTCTTAACGCCAGTGCTCTCCCTTGAACCTGTATCTTGCTTGTCTCTATGTCTCTTTGTTTGCTTTTCCCACTTTGGACAAGCCTGTATTCTCTCTTGAACGTGTACTGTGTACTTCCTCTTTCTCTCCCCTCACATCTAAGTTTCGTTCAATAGAAACTATCTTGCTTTACAAAACAACCACAGCCCCCCTCCAAAAAAAAAAAAAAGATGCAGCTTAGTGGGAAGATTCTATGTTTACCACTGAGTCGTTAAAGTAACCAACATTTCACAAAGTACCTCCATTGCTATGTAATGTCATCTATTGGCCTTGTTCCAGAGAGTCATAAATAAATGTCGAAAGAGATCAGCTAGATGTAAAAATTTTTAGACAGCCGCTCATGGCTGAGACATTTGGGGCACTCCGGGGAGAGGGCAGGCCAGCGCCTGCCCAAACAGAGCTCTGGTACCACTTGCTCCCACAACTCCAAGGTCGCCGCCATGCCTCAGCCAGACTCCATCATGTGAGGACCAAGCCTTACCGGGAGAAATTAATCTGACAAAAACTCACATATGCAGGTCCCTGTGAATGAAATCTCCAGATTCCCACAAAGTAGGAATATGCTACCTTCCCTTATCTCCCTGTACTTCTGGAAGCTGTGGCAGTAACATTCACACCCCAAAGCCCCCACCCAGTTAAAAATTTAATTCCAGCTATACTGCTCAATGAAAAATTCTCGATTTCCTAGAGCACGTGGCTGCAACATCTCCAAATTCTACAATACTGATAAAGCCAGTAGTAGCAGACCAATTGGATGGAATGTAACACAGAAAACAAATAAAGCCTAACAAAATATAAGCCCAGAAGGCTTAACCTGTAACATTTTAGTAATCCCTCACACGAGGCCTTAAAGTCTCCCTGGTAAGATATAATTCATTAATTCACAGTAATTTTCTTCTAAGGAAGTATTTTTGATCATTCTTTAATTTATGTATAACTTATAGAAATTTTATAAATTATATAGCACTCTCTGTAGCACTCTCCTCCTGTTGTTCATCGATTTGCTCCAGCAGGCCCAGTTATGTCTCCCTTTTGAGACTTGTTACTGTGTTTGGCATATCAAATACCTCACAGTTATCCTGCCAGGCTTTACCCTGTGGGCAAGATACTCTCGGTAACTTGCCAGGCTCTCTGAGAGGGGCAGAAAATTGAACCCGGGTCAGCCGGGCCGGTTGCATGCAAGGCAAATGCCCTACTACTGTGCTATACATTACATAATTTTTGATCATTCTGTAATATATATGTAAGATATATAAATTATATATTTACTTATATATTATGTCACGGTCCTCCTGTTCATCGATTTGCTCGAGCAGGCCCAGTAACATCTCCATCGTGAGACTTGTTGTTACTGTGTCTGGCATATCGAATACATCACGGGTAGCTTGCCAGGCTCTGCCGTGCGGGCGAGATACTCTCGGTAGCTTGCCAGGCTCTCTGAGAGGGGCGGAGGAATCGAACTTGGGTCAGCCATGTTGGCCACTTGCAAGGCAAATGCCCTACTGCTGTGCTATCGCTGCAGCCTGTACTTATATATAATTTATATATATATATAATAAGCAAAAAATTATATTGGGTCTACTATGGGAGCTGGCTTGAGGAGTGGTTAGGAAAATTGAAGACAATGGTGGGTGCTGGAATATCAAATTCCTGTAACAAATCATCATGAAGAGCTTTGTAAATCACAGTGTTTATATAAATTGTAGGGGAGTTTAAAAAATTTCCATATGTAAATCTTACCTATTTCATGTAAACTCTAAAATATATTAGCACAGCATTTTGTAAAAGTTTTATTTATGACAGGTAAGATATGATGATCATTACCATAATAAAATCCAAATATAAAAATTCAACACAATATACTTAAGATTCCAGAGCTGATAACTTTCTTATATAAATGAGCATAGACATTTTATAATATTGTATTAAATAGGGATGGAGTGATAGCACAGTGAGTAAGGCGTTTGTCTTGCATGCTTGCTAACCCAGGTTCAATTCCTCCGTCTCGGAGAGCCCAGCAAGCTACCGAGAGTATCTCGTCCACATGGCAGAATCTAGCAAGCTCCCCATGGCGTATTCGATATGCCAAAAACAGTAACAACAGTCTCACAATGGAGATGTTACTGGTGCCCAGTTGAGCAAATCGATGAGTGGGAGGACAGTGCTACAATCACAAATTGGCTTTTACTGATTTACTTTCTGATCATTTTGTCTGCCATTTCTTTAAGGTTTGTTGGCACAAGCAATATAAGGTAAATTTGTTATGTGCCTAAGGGGGCAGGTTGGGGTTGGTAGGAAAACACAATGTGAAGGGAAGGTCACATTGATGATGTTGAAACACTAAATGCCCGAAGCAAATGTATTATAAACAACTTTGTAAATCACAGTGTTTTAATAAAAATAAATTTTAAAAAAGCAACCAAGGCTATCATGTAAAAGATGCTTTACACTAAACTTCAAATGGGCATGGCTCTCTATATTTAAGTCCTTCATCAATTTAAATGTCATGTCTTCAACAGGCCAATCTATAAAATGGTACTGACAAATCCAACGTAGAAGAAAAATTTAATTCAATTCTAGAGGCCACGGCAGGAACCAAACTTACTGGAGAGGAGCAATGCCCATCAGGCCAAGGTTCAGAGCAGCCGTGTTCAAACTGGTATAAACAAATGCAAACATCACCTGTGGTTTCAAAGATCAGTTTGCTGAACAGCTCTTCTTGGGTACAGATGATCATGAAGTCCAGTGACTTCCCAAGTCAGTCCAGACTATGACCCTACACCAACTGTCAAACACTAGAAATCTAGGCTAGCTTATCTGGATGCAACAGAAACTACAGAGCACAGTTGTCTCAAATCCCCTGTTGTCACACAGATAACACAACTTGCACCAATTTGATCATTTAAGAGATTCTCATACGGCATCCATGACTGCCAGAAATCAATAGAGGGACAGGCTTGATATTGCAGACGGAGGCAATGGACCACTGCTCAGTCTGCTGAACTCAGCGCTCCACCCTGATAAGCTCCCACAAAGCACCAGGAATAATGGGGAAAAAATGAAGGAAGCTGTACCAAATGACAGAAGTGGAGGCTTTTGTAGATGTATTTTTGAAAGACTGGAAACAGTGTTGATGGGGGATGTGGTGAAAAAGGAACCTCACTGATTGTTGGTGTGCAAGTTACAGGTTCAGTCTCCAAGGAAAACAGCATGGAGGCTTCTGGAAAAAGTAAGAATAGTGTTTCCATAGGTCTGACTTCTTGATATCTACTCCTCAAAACAGAAAACCATTAATTTAAAAGGATATATGCATACCTTTGTTTATTGCAGTGCTAAGTAATAACCACTACACGAAAATAACTCAAATGTTCAAGAATGTACGAATGAGTAAAGTAGTTGTGGTACATACAAACTGTGGTATACTATGAAGCTGTAAGAAAAGTTAAAAGATTGTATTTTATATTTGTATTTCCATGCACTTTTTAATCTGGAGGATCACTATCACTATCACCCCATTGTTCATCAATTTGCTTGAGTGGGCACCAGTGACATCTCCATTCGTCCCTGTCATGTGCTACGGTAGCCCGATGGAATATTGGGGGCTCTTTCAGGGTCAGGGGAATGAGGACCATTATTGTTACTGTTTTTGGCATATCGAGTACGCCACGGGTAGCTTGCCAGGATTTGGAGGATATCATGTTAAATAAAATACATGAGATGGAAGAGACAAATCTAGATGAGCTCACTCGTTTATAATAAAGAGAGACACAAAACAATAGAATAGACAGTAATGGATGATGACAAAGTTTTGATCTTGGACAATAAAACCAGTTACCAGGCAGTTGGGTAAGGGAAGATGTGGACTCAGAGTGATACAAGTACAGTGGTGGGGGATCTTGGGCATTTGGTGATGGTGAAGGTATAGTACATTTACACATCAAAACCATAAGCAGAACACAACTGTAACCATGTCTCATAAACTGCAAAAAAAATTAACTGGGGGAAATTGTTCCTTTGGAGAACTATCTGAAGGTTCTCAAAACTCAAAAAAGAAATAAAATGTTAGGGATGGGGCCAAGATGTCCAAACAGCATTATAGAATGAAACCTAATCATAAACAGTTTTGTAATGTGATGGTCTAACTCTGTCTTGTCCTGTCTGTCCTCCCGTTGTTCATCGATTTGCTCGAGCGGGCCCAGTAACGTCTCCATTGTGAGACTTGTTGTTACTGTGTCTGGCATATCGAATACGTCACGGGTAGCTTGCCAGGCTCTGCCGTGCAAGTGAGATACTCTCGGTAGCTTGCCAGGCTCTCCGAGAGGGGCGGAGGAATTGAACTCGGGTCGGCCATGTTGGCCGCTTGTAAGGCAAATAAATGCCCTACCGCTGTGCTATTACTCCAGCCCATGGTCTAACTCACTAGGATTCAATTAAAAAAAAATTTCAACTATTTATCAGATCCCAGAGAGAGAGAGAGAGAGAGAGAGAGAGAGAGAGAGAGAGAGAAGCACTTGCCATAGAGGCAAGCAAGCAGGAGCTGGGGGATGATGGAAGGGAAACTGGGAACACTGGTGCTAAGAACTGTACACTGGTGGAGAGATGGGTGCTGGAATACCGTATGACTGAAAGCCAATCATGGAAAACTTTTGTAAGAGTCTATCTCACAGTGATTCAATAAAAAAGTTAAAAAAAATATATGTCCTGACCACTAATAAATCAACAGTTTTTTCTGCTACTCAACATTGTTAGATTTCAATCTAAGCCTTACTTACCAAAATCATATGGGCTATTAGATTGCCTCCAAGAGCTCCAAAAGTATAATATACAAGGGCCTGTAAAAAAGAATAAAAGATGCTTAACTAAACTTATGTACAAGTTTTCCCAGTACAATTTGTGCTATTCGATAGTTTTAGTATAATTACCTTTGCCTGACTTGAATTAACACCAAGTCCGGAGGCATAGAGAAAGCCAAGAGCCTGCAATAAAATAAGAGAAAAGAATTCTTCCTTTGCTGGAGATTCATCCAAGTCACACATAATCTTATGAACAATGAAGAGATGCAATAATCTTTACATGGTACCAGATTTGGACTGTGGAAATTTGCAAAATGTAGATTACAAGTTACATCAAGTTTTCAAATTTACATATATTTTCAAATTACACTGTGAAAATATAATTTAAACATGTTGAAAAGTTTAGCTCAAACATCAAAGCGAATTTAATCGAGTGTTAACCTTAGAAAGAAAGCTGAATACACAAATGACTTATATCCTGATGAGCAGTTCTGAGAACAAAACAACTCCTGAACCACTCCATCATTATATTACGATCTGTGCAAAGGGGAAGATACATAATGAAAATGGATAAGATAAATTATACCAAGATGAAAAGAGGCAGCAAGGGACTCTAGTCGAAGGGACCAATGAAAGTCACTTTATGGTTCAGAGCACACACAATTTTCTTAAGAAAAAACAAAAGTGAAACACGCAAACCCAAACAACTGTGGTAAGTGCAGTGGTAAGGATCTTTGTTTTGCCTTCTAAGAATCATTCCCGCAGGCATGAAGGCACAAATTAGCTAGAAAGGCAGATGTGGGGCCAGAGCAATAGTACAGTGGACAGGGCTTTCCTTGTATGCAGCTGGCCTGGATTAGTAATATTAGTTCCCTGGCATCCCATGTGGTCCCCCCCTCAGGAGTAATTCCTGAGTGCAGAGCCAGCAGTAACCCCTGAGTATCGCTGGTATAACCCCAAAAGACCATAAAATAAAAAATAAAAATGTTAAAAAATTAGAAAAGTATTTTTTAAAAAAGCAGGTGTTACAAGAGATATTGCAATCGAATTTCATGAGCTCGTTCATCCACATTTTCAGCTTCCCTTGTAAAGTTAGGCGGGGCCATGGAGCCGGAAGGAATGTGAGCCAATTGCAGGCCAAGCCCTAAAAAACATTCCAGAGAATCCTTCAGAGCTCTTTTCTCCCTTCATAGGGCCTGGAGAGTTGTGCTGCAGATGATGCAGTTACATGACAGAAACATGCCGTGACTCTGAGTCACAACTCTGGGAAGAGAATCACGGACAAGGAAAGCTGTGTTGAACGTGGATGGAACAAGAACTGTAGGGATTGGAGAGATAATTTGGGGTAAGGCAGTTGCCTCGCAGGAGTTAACCCATGTCCAATCCCTGGCACACCACATGTGGTTCCCTGAGCACTGCCAACAGTGATACCTGGTCTCTGAGCTGAGAGTCAGTAGGGCACAGCACAGCTGGGTATGCACCCCCACCTCAAAGTGAACTATAGTGTTAAATTGCTGTAATTTGGGGGCTTTTGCTTGCTTTATCACCTAGAATTACAGCGTTAAGTGCTTTGCAATGTATAAAACATTAGCACGTAAAATTCTACTGGAAAGAATGCCTTATCATTGATGCTTCCAGACCCTGAGCCAGGCTGTTTGACAAGGGGCAACCTGGAGGTCGGGGTGGGGTGTGAGTTCCCCTCCCCGACCCAACAGAGCCCTGGCAGCCAAAACCTCCAGAATCCGGCTGTATAACAGCGATGTCTCATACTTTACACCATTGATGTATCAAGAGCAGCACACCACATTTGAAGGGGTTTATCTTATCAAAGGGCTTAATGGCTCAGGGTGAAATACAACAATCTTCACATTTTTTCCTTTAAGGAAACTTTTTTGGATCATTTTTAGCGGATTATTCATAATAAGGTAAAAGGTAAAGGCCCTCCCGTTGATCATCGATTTGCTCGAGCGGGCCCAGTAACGTCTCCATTGGAGACTTTGTTGTTACTGTGTCTGGCATATCGAATACGTCACGGGGAGCTTGCCAGGCTCTGCTGTGCGGGCGAGATACTCTCGGTAGCTTGCCGGGCTCTCCGAGAGGGGCGGAGGAATCGAACTCGGGTCGGCCATGTTGGCCACTTGTAAGGCAGACGCCCTACCCGCTGTGCTATCGCTCCAGCCCTCATAATAAGCAATACAAAATAAATTATTTCGGCTCTGCTTTGGGGACAATGTTTGGGGTTCAGGGTGAACATTTGAAATAAGGTGGTAGGAAGGTATAATGGTGGTGGGATTGGTGTTCGAATATTAAATGTAATAAATTATTGTGAACAACTCTGCAAAAATAAAATTTAAAAAAAATTAAGTTCCTCAGAGCAGAAGCTATCCAGAATATATCCAGAAGAGTTTTATATAAATGGATTTATACAAATGGAAACAAACTCTGGAAACAAAGGAGGATCAATTAAGATAGACCGATCTGCAAACGAGAGAGATGAGATTATGTAAGAGTTGCAGACTTTCACAGAAACCAATGGTCACCACTCCTACTACTGTTTATTTGAAATCTGTTTAACCTTTAAGCAAATGCCATCTCCTCCAATAAAACCAAATTACTGAAGGCATTTTACTAAATAAAGGTGATGGCTAAGTCTAGGTCCACCTTAGCATTACTAACAGGGAATCAAGCAGATACTATGTATCAAATAGTATGATACAATAGGGAACAGAAAACCTCTTGTAATGCAGCTTAATCAAAAATATTTCACTTGATTTCTGAGATATCCATGAAATACAGGTGGTGAATGAAGGATCCCAAGAAAAGGCTGGAAAAATAGTTAAAACTGCAGCCGTCAGTTCAATCCTGGCACTGTTGGATGTGGCAGTTATTACAAATAAGCAAAGAAAATTATCACGAAGGAACAAAGTGACAAATTGAAGGTAGACGATTCTGCAGGAAAATTCTCAGAAAAAAATAGGCAGAGACTATTCTAGAAAAAAAAATTAAGTGGTATAATCCTGAATGGATATTCTTAAAACCTGGGTATAAAATATTCTGGTTCAGTAGCTATAAATGTGAATAGGGTGTGAGTATACAATATAAATATTAGAATAGAAAGATGAAGACTACTGATTTGAGAATAGTTTATGAAATAGTAGACTGTGGTACCTCATTTTAATAAGGAATTTATGTACACAGAAACACACAGAGAGCAAGGTCGATGTATGCACTAATATGTGTCGTATACATGTTTATTTTTCTGATTTTGCTAGTTCGTATTTCTAACATGTTATAATGGTCATGTACGTATATGTAAAACAAAACATTAACCAGATTAACAAGAACTGAAACACCTAAAATCTGTAAAAAAATATTCAATAAGGAGCAACCTTTATATTTCATTTTCTATAGCTCTAGTTTGAAAGTTTATAAATAAAAACTAAAAAACTCTGGTTTGGCGAGTGTAGTGACAGAATTGCACATGCGCCATAAGTGATGCCCAATGCTCTCAGGCCAAAGGGAAAAACTGTCCAAGGCTAGTAAACTGACGGGCAACAAAATTATTATTGAGAGATATTTACCTTGCCATTCGATTTGTCAAAATACAGAGACTAAAGGGCTGTTGTAACACACAGGAGTTCTGTCTGGAGAGATTCTCCACTGAAGGTAAACTTACAGTTTGTCCCTTGGGAGAGCCTTCCTCGGTCAGTTTCTCAAACATCTCTTTAGCTGCCTGAACATTCTGGGTCAAGTGATCACCAAACAGAAGAGCGTAGGACACTCTCTCCTGGGCCTTGGTATGGTTCAAGCCTGCTGCTTTCTGAAGATACCGGTATGCTCTTTAAAAGCAAAATGATAAAAACAAGGAAGCAATATTTTGTACTGCCATTAAATATTTTCAAAGCCTTCTAAAATTCATCATTTATAAATCATTTCCTTATCCCACAGAATCCCTGATATTCTGGTAGCTATTTCTACCAAGTTGCTGACTTTTGGCTGTAAAAACCATTTTTCTCCTTGGTTTTACAGAGGTGCCGGCTGCTCTGTGACTACAAAACCTTAGAACAGTAGTAGTAACTTAAAAAGTTATATTTCCTTCTTCCTTTTGTTTGATTTGGCTTTGCGGCCACACCAGGCAGTGCTCAGGAATTACTCCTGGCTCTGTGCTCTGGGATTTATCTTGAGGGGGTTTGGAGACCAATCCTGGTGCTGGGGATTGAATCCATGATGCAAGGCCAGCACCTTAGTCGCTATACTCTCTCTCCATCCCCCAAATACTAATTCTTTAATGAATTTTAATAATATGGTATCAGTAAATAACCCAGTGTTAGGCATTGCTGTTTTCTTTTTGAATTACCTCAGCTTTATAAAAAAAAGAAAAAAAAACAGATTTGTATTGAATATTTTAAATTTTCAACTTTGCCCCCAGTGCTCCAACTCTGAAAATTTGTAATTTTCCTATAGACCAGGAAAATGACAAAGCAAAACAAAAACCATAAACAACAACAGACAAAAATGAAATATGGCTCAAGGGGAGGGGCACATGTCTTGCATCTGTGAGACCCCAAAGCAGGTCTCCCCTCCAGCACTGCCACTGCCACACAGGCCCCAGTAGCAACAAGGACCACCTCATGGCAGCACAGAGCCTTTGGGCCAGCAGCACTGGGCAGAGTGTCACTTGGGGTGGCCCCCGCAGAGGCCCTTATTAAAGCCAAAACCAAAACCAAAACCAATTCCTTTAGCTTTAAGTCATTTTAAATTCTGAACAGAATATGTATTCTTCATTCTCTTCAGCTTTAGTTGATTACTTCTACAGTGCTCACTGTTCAAGCTTGATTTACTGATTATTTACAATCTTTTTTCCCTGTAAGCTAAACTGACTTAGAAAATAAAATGCCACCAATGTCCATATGTATATACGTTATGTATTATGCTTTTCTTATAATGCGACTTCAGGAAGACTTTTTACACTTTGGAAAATAAATTATTTAACTTATTTTGGATTTGGTGGTGCTACCTACTCTCTTTTGTGGCTTTTCTTATTGCTTCCATTGAGGATTTTCATCCCAGTTTGGAACATCATTTCTGCTTCCTGCATTTGTCGTCTTTTAGCAGCCTCTTCTTCAGCTGAAAATAAATGTCAGATGCATTTAAGTGGATTTAAATTGTACACTAATTATCAAACATCAGTATGCATTCTTTTGGGAATTCATATAAACACAGTCAAAGAAATTTCCCATTTCCATATCTCAAAGACACATGATTTATACTTTTTCTATTTTGACAAAATATTTATCTGCATTTTATCTGTGTTATATCTGTATCTATTTGACAAAAATAAAACCACAGAAAACAAACCCTAATTTTATCTATTTTTTTTTTTGCTTCTGGGTCACACCCGGCAATGCACAGGGGTTACTCCTGGCTCAGGCACTCAGGAAATTACTCCTGGTGGTGCTCGGGGACCATATGGGATACTGGGAATCGAACCCGGATCGGCCGCATGAAAGGCAAATGTCCTACCTGCTGTACTATCGCTCCAGCCCCGAAACCCTAATTTTAAAAGGCAAGACTCGCAAAATTATATCATTGGGGGAGAGGGAGTTACATCTTTTCCCTTATATTTTTTAATCATTTTCATTAAAATCCCAAGATTTACAACACTATTAAACTTTCCATGGTTAGTTAAACCCCTCACCTGAAAGCCCACTTTCCTTACAACAGTGTCCCAAAGACCCCTGCTGACCCCCAATCCTGACCTTCTGCCACCCCAAGTTCTATAGAAAAATCTTTTATGATGATGTTGACTATTTGTTGTTCCCTGTCTATAAAATAATTTTGTTAGAAAAGGCATATTTAAGGTTCTGTCATAATAGTAATCTTAAAATGTATTTAACTTAATTAAAAATGTGGGGAGATCTTTGATCAGGGGCTAACATCTGTTGTAATCGGGACAGAAAGAACATTAAAAACAACAGAAAGAGCTAGAGGGGGTGATGCAGGTGGGGGAGTATGACAGGCCCCTGCAAGACCCCTACTAGTCCTGGGTGGTCTGTGAGAGCCCAAGTACCACCAGTGGCTGGACCAAAAAGTACTCAGCCAGGAGGATCCTGGCACTCAGCAATGCCCAGTGTGGCCCTTATAGAATCACTGTCACTGTCACTGTCCTCCTGTTGTTCATGGATTTGCTTGAGCGGGCCCGGTAACGTCACCATTCTGGGACTTGTTACGGTGTTTGGCATATCGAATACATCGCGAGGAGCTTGCCAGGTTTTGCTGTGTAGGCGAGATACTCTCAGTTGCTTGCTGGGCTTTCCGAAAGGGGTGGAGGAATCGAACCTGGGTCACCAGGTCGGCCGCGTGCAAGGCAAATGCCCTACCGCTGTGCTATCCTACCACTGTGCTATCGCTCCAGCTCAGTCCCTATAGAATACTAGCGAGAAAAAAAAAAATACTGTTTTAAACAGAGGACACTTTACCTTCATAGAAAAACAGGTTTGTATTGAATATTTTAAATTTTCTACTTTGCCCCTAATGCACTGATACAACTTTGAAAACAACTAATCACAATAAACTCCTCAAAAATTATTCTGCCACTTGGAGCGCCAGAGGGACAACACCAGATGATCTAGTATGAAAAAGAGACAAAGAAAGGAAACGGACAGTGTCCACTGAAAACAAACCCTTGGACTCAGATAACGCTGAGTCACCAAGTCAGAGAGCAGGAACTGGGGTGAACTGGTAGTGACATTGGAACAGCAGTGGAGGGGTCTGCAACACTTCGGTAGAGCCAGAGGTATTGTACCGTGGTACTCCTAAAGCATGAAGATCAATACCACTGTAAACCATGTCGCCTCAGTAATAAAAATAATTATGTTCCCATTTTAATAAGGCATTTTAACAGAAATCTAGAACTCCGGAAACATTTGAATATTTTGTCAGGATCAATGCTTACAGAAATACATGTGAGTTCTCTCATCTGCGGAATACAGAACACTGGACGAGGAAATGTACTGTAGTAAAAGGGGATACGTAGCTCACCTTTGACCCCAGTGTTTAAAGAGGAGACAAAAAAGGAAAGAGATCAAGGGGGGAAGAAGAGAATGAGAAACAATGTGTTAACAAGCATTGGGGCTTCAGTTATCCCAGTGATCTGAGTGAGGGGTATATACTCAAAACACAGATTCAACTGAAGTGAAAACATGAGATTTATGTGGTAGTCACTGGAACTTTGTAATGTGCCTGTCAAGGTGACAGGTGAGGGTGAGGTGGCAGGTTGGGATGGGAAGGGAATCTGGGAACACGAGTGGAAGGATTAGTGTTGGATTATTGTATGCCTAAGACTGTAACATCAGTAACTTTGTAAATCATGGCTTTAATAAAAATTTAAAAAAAAACATAAGAGTTCTTATAAAAACAAGATTTGACATTAAACTGAAATACGATTCACAATGGTTTACATGTCTACATCTCAAGATGAACTATATTTGGTATTATCTTCTAGGAATGCCTATGTATATTTTTCCCATTTTTACTGATCATTATTTAGAATATTAGAGAATTCCAGAGTATGATTTAACACCGGTATATAACCCACCACACTAAAGCTCAGTGCTATACTACCAAGGCAAGTTCCCAGAAGGTCTGAATACCTGTCAGAGTCATTATTCTGAGAATGTTATTTGGCATTAGGAAAAAAAATGTTTAAGATTTTATGTTTCCTTTATAGTGAGAAAAGGTTACATGAAAACAGCTTACCATTAGATGTCAGGTCTTTCAGATGCATGCAAATGTTTACGATGATAAAGTATAGTTGTCAAACGTGAACTTCTTTTGGAGAGGGTATACAAAGGATCCAACTGAGTGCCTCATACATGCAGGACACATGCTCTACCATTGGTCTAATGGTAACATGGAATATTATGCTCCAAGAATTCTTTTTCTAGGCCACAGGGGTGTGCTCAGGGGTTTACTCCTGGCTCTGTGCTCAGAGGTGACTCTTGGCAGTGCTTGGGGGACCATACAGGGTGAAACAGATTGAACCTGGTTGCTGCATGCAAGTACCTGCCATACTATCACTCTGTCCTCCCTCCAGGAATTTTTAAAAGAAATTTGTTTTTCCTCTAACAATTGGGCTGGAGTAATAGCACAGCAGTAGGGCATCTGTCTTACACGCAGTCGGCCTGGCAGAGCCGGGTTCGATTCCTTCACCCCTCTCAGAGAACATGGCAAGCTACCGACAGTAACTCGCCCGCACGGCAAATCCTGGCAAGCTACCCGTGACGTATTCAATAAGCCAAACATAGTAACAATTGTCACAATGGAGACGTTAGTGGGCCCGCTCGAGCAAATCAATGAACAATGAGAGGGTCATGCTCTAACAATTAGTAACCCCCAACATAACATTGCTTCGTTTAGTGCCAAAATACATCATTATTTGAGCAGCCTGTCCAGTGTTTACAGAAATGACTCTGAATTTCAACAGTAGACCCTAAGAAAAACCCATGTAAGAAGTTGCTCAAAGGACAATTTAGATGAAATGTGTTGCATGCCCTCTGCTTGTAAGAAAGACCATATGGAGCAGTCATAACCATGTCATCAACAGTATTTCTGACCAAGGTAGAAAAGGATGGCTAGAAAAAGACCTTAACTCTGATGTTCGCAATATCCCGACATGCCTTTTACGGAACAGTACTTACTTTCACAAAAGCCCCACTTTTCATCTGCCTTGTAGTCGTAGGTGGTAGCACACCACAGCCTTCCATCGTCCCGGCCGTCTGAGGTACACTCGTCATATTCCTTATTCAGGAAAAGAAAAGGAAAGTGACAGGGCTCCCCGTGTGCTGTGCCTTCAATGGCAGTCAGAACTGGAAAGACAAGGAAAGAGAAACATCTAAATATGAACCACACCTCTGGTATTTAATGAGCCAGCGCGGTCAATTTCAGTAATTTGAATTTGAAAGTGAAGATGTAGAATTTGTAAGGAGGGATATAAACAAGTTAGCAATGGTTTTTTTTTAAAGGTGACTTGAGGAAGCATCAACCTAGTGTGACTAACATCTATAATTAGCATAGAATTTCTAAAGGTCTTAAGAAACAATATCCACATAATATTAAGTCTACGGTAAAATTCCTGCCCAATTAGTGAGTGAAAAAAATCTGGCAAACAGACCTGAGTCAACTGCTCTGTACAACTTTCCTTTTTCTAATCTGAACTCTGTATATCAATTTCTACAACCATAAAATGTTAGACTGAAAAAATACTCCTTAGGCCAAGTTCACCTGAATCTCGGAGATCTCCCAGCATTGTATTAGGTATTTAAGGGTGTTTTTCAGTTCACACGTAAAAATGCTCAGTAAATACTCCTGGAGCAGTGCTCAGGGGTCTATTCAATGGAATCCTGGGGGACCATAAGGTGCTGAGGGTCAAACTTGGGGCTCTCATGTGCAAAATACATGCTCCAGACCGCTGAGCTCTCTTCCCAGCCCCTAAGCTTACTTCTTTGCATACTGCAGTTCCCACCACACAGCCTACGGAGACTCTATCTCCAATTTGTTCTGTAAGTCATTTCAAAGTATCTCCTTGCTTCTGGGGATAAAGACAAATGTTCAAAATGAGGTGATGTAGAGGTCTCTGCTGTATAAAACTGAGTGTTTGGGAAGGAAGAGTTAAGTAAAAGTGTAGTCTATGTTATGGAAAGGAAAGGAGCTGGGATTCGCCATGAACCATTAAGTCTGATTAGGAGTACGGGGGAGATGAAGGGTCGCAGGAAGAAGTGTTGGAGGCCAAGGGAACTGTGCATGCTGACAATCAGATGAAAGTGGGTACAGCATATCAGAGATCAGAGCTCAGGACAGCAGAACAGGCAGGATGAGTGCCTAAGTGACTCAGACAAGAGGAGGGACTGAAGAAGCGTGAGATGACAGATGGGAGAGTCTGAGCCCGAGTCTTATTAAGGAGTCTGGACGTTAGCCTGAGAACAAAGAAAACTCTCCTAAGAGTTTTAAGTCAGTGTTGACATGGCCAGATATACATTTATAAAGAGAGTGGACAGTGGCATGGGAGGAAGCAAAGCTTTATGCAAGGTGACCGATTTCAAGGTTGCGATAACAAGGGAATCAAGAGGCAATGGGGGTCTGAAGAGGATGATGGAGTGAGAAAGCAGAGGCACTCAGGAGCCACCAGGAAAGCATAGAGAGGGCTACTTACTGACTACAGGTGCACATGAGAGGAGAGGAGTCAAGCAAGGTCCCCAGGAATTAGGCTTCAGGAAGGAAGTAGATGGTTGCCCTTACTAAGACAGAGAACATGAAAGGAGTAGGTTAATGGGTAGGGATGAAGTGGATCATGAGAGAGACAAATTAAGACTTGACCCTGTCACAGACAAGGTGGCTATTAAAATAAGCAAAATAAATGAAGATGTTTTCTACATCTTTTTGGTCATAGCCCAAGAGAAATTTTTCCAGTAGACAGTTAAATTTGAAGCCAAGAGTCGGCTTGGCTTCAAACACTGAATAAGAGGTACCCTAGAAGACCAGGTGAGTAGCGTTCAATCTAGAACCATATATGGCATAAGTGCTGTTAACTTATACTGGGACCGGAGCAATAGCACAGTGGGTAGGGTGTTTGCCTTGTACGCAGTCAACCTGGGTTTGATTCCAAGCATCCCATATGGTCCCCCGAGCACTGCCAGGAGTAATTCCTGAGTGCATGAGCCAGGAGTAGCCCCTGTGCAATGCTGGGTGTGACCCAAAAAGAAAAAGAAAAACCCAAAAAAACAACTCCTACTGGCTACTTTAGCATGGAAAATTTAATTAGGCATCAGAGCTCAGTGATTAAGGGGTATAGGTTCAGGGGCCGAAGTGATCGTATGGCAGACATGGCACTTGCCTTGCATGCAGCCAACCCCGGGGCAATGCCTGGCACCTCATATGGTCCTCCCCCCAAGCCCACCAGATTGATTCCTGAGCACAGAGCCAAGAGTATTGAGCACTGCTGATATGGGTGTCCCTCCATACCCCCCAAAAAAGGGTAGGTTCTGGACTCAAAACACCTGATCCAAACCCTACTACTTATTAGCTGTGTACTTAAGAAAAAAACAGCTTAACAGTATTTTCGTTTGCTGAAACACTTTGAAGAGGTTCAAACACACGAGTGAACTCTCTTTCATGTGATGGGACTATACGGCAGAAGAGGAACTGGAAAGATCCAAAGTGCTTTTGGCAACAAGTTTTAATTAACTGCTGATTCAGCACTAACTTCAGAAGGAAATAAAATCCCAAGGGGCACCTACTTCAACTTAACTACAAGGGAATGCTGATCCCATCTGGGTGTTTATCAGTAAATTACTGGGCAAAAAAAAATTCTGTATCTTTCAACTGTCCCCTCCGTACAAAATCACAACAGGGAAACTTACTATTTTTTAAGCTGTTTTAAAGTTTTCCAAAAAGACACTGACTGTGGGACTTCCTAGTTTTAATTTTCTCTAATAAAGACTGCTCACTACAGTGTCTCATTCTTTTTATAGAGAAATTTTGCAAAATTTTCAACTCATCCTGAAAGAATTTAAGAAATTTAGGCCATAAAAGCAATTATCAGTTTAAGATAAAATGGTAATTCTGGCTATGGCAAAAATAAAGCTAAGTATGCAATTTAAGTTAATGACAGTGATAAGACAGGGATGTCAGTATGCCAATTTTGCATCTTCATATAAAAAGTCATTTTTCCTAAATAATCATATCTGACAATAATGATAAAATCAATAATGACAAACTATCATGACCTTTAACTTTGGGTATATGAGTACTCATAATAATGAACAGATTGCTTTATAACTGAGTTAATAGAAATCTTCTCTTAAAAAGAAAACTAGATTTTTTTTTAAAGCATCCAAATCTGAAATCTTTAGTGTTTGTCCAGAGAATGGGTAAATGACTACTCATACTGTTGGCAGGAGCCCAGGAATATGGCGTGGCCCCCAGAACCAGAAAATCTCATATTGAGGGACATTCAGTAGTATCTATTAGAAATTTAAAGGTCTGGAATCAGAGAGATAGTGCGCATGTAGGGTGCTTATTTTATATGCAGCTGTCCCAGGTTCATTCTCCAAAACTCGACAAGGTCCCCCAAGACCCCAGGAGTGATCTTTGAGCCTGGAGTGAGCCCTTAGCACAGCTGGGCATGGCCCCCAGAACCAGAAAATAAAAGGTCCTTTCTATATTCAGATAGTAATTTTGCATTTCTTGGATTTTTACTCACAGAAATGCTCTTAGAAGGTACGATAGGAGATAGGAGATATGATATGTACAACATAGTATCTGTACATGGCCATATTGAAAATAAGAAACCAACAAAATGCAAAGGTTTACCAACAGGAGACTGGTTAAATCAACTATGGTGCAGTTATTACACAGCACCAGCATAGAATTAAAGGTTACTAGGAAGCATGGGAGCCAAGTCCTGGGGCAAATTTGTTTCAAGATGAGGAAAATTCTAAGGAACTAGCCCTCAAGTGATGAATATGCTTTTCAAAAAAGGAAAAAATACTGATGAGGAGTGAAATCAAGGCCAAGACCAAAAGAGAGGCAGCCAGCAGTTAGAAAGTGATGGAAGGGTCGAGGAGATAATACAGCGGGAAGGGGCTTGTCTTGCTTGTGACCGACTAGGTTCAATCTTGGGGAAAAAATCAAGGAAGGACAGAGAGACAATATGATGGGGAAGGTACTTGCCTGGCATGCAGCAAACCCAGGTTCATTCCCTGAAACCCTGAGTCCTCCAGGAGTGATCCAGGAGTAAGCACAGAGCCAGGAGTAAGACCTGAATACAGCCGGGCATGGTTCCACAAACCAAACCATAAAATCAAAATAAACAAGTACATTTCTCAAAGAGCTATCTGTCTCAGGACAATCATCATGTAGTGTTCAGAAAGTTTAGTAAGCATAAGATTAAAAAAGAAAGTAGTCAAGCAATCATCATCCCATGCTGAAAACAAAGCTGTAGTAGAGATCACTTAGCAGTTGGGACAGAGCAAACGGTGTGGGCAAATAAAGATGTCTTGACTGCTGGCTAGGAAAAATGTGACAGTTATCCTTTAAGGAAAATACCCATGGAATGTGATTTGCTGCATGCAGCCCCCTCTGACCCACAGCTGAGAAGAACTGACACTAACAAAAAAAGAAGAACTGACACTAACTTCCTAAGGCAGGCATTGTGTTAGGGATGACAACATTCTTTTCAGGGGTTTGGGGTTTGAACCCCTTGCACCACAGGGCCGTTAAAACCACCTCCTCAGGCCTGGCAGGGTGCTGCCCCCAACTATAAAATGTATCTTTCATAGAAATAAAAAGTTATTTGCAGAATGAACGAAACCTTAAGGTCAGAATTCACATTAAGCTCACTTCTCTTTCTGTGAAATAACTCATCATTTTAGAATAGAAAAAGAAAGCGCTGATCCTTGTGCCCAGCAGGGTGACGAAATTCCTGACAATCTGATGATAAGCACATTGAAAAGTCACGGAGAAAACCTGTGAGTTATGAAGTATGAGAACAACATGGATTTAAAGTCCTAGCAGACTGCTTCTCCCCCAAGGATGGTGCCTAAACAAGGTTAGGTCCCTAAATGGTTCCTAAACAAGTTTCCTTGTAGAAATAATTTCTTGCACATTCAAAAAGTAAATAAATTAATAAAGAGATAAATAGGGAATAAAGAGAGAAACAAAAAATGTTTTCATTAAAGTCAGAATCTGTTTGGGCAGGAGTAACAGTACAGAGAGGAAGGTGCTTGCCTTGCACGTGTCCAACCAGGGTTCTATTCCCAGCATCTCACATGGTCACCTAAGCCTACTAGGTGTAATTCCTGAGTGCAAA